TTCTCTCTAATCTTTCTTCCACTGGAGCTATCCAACCTTTCAAGTATATGCTCATTTCGTATCCTATCTCTAAGGCGTTCAAGCCACTCATCACCTAAGCATCTCATTCTCTGCCACACTTAGTATTATGCTTCTTTTAATGTCCAGATTCGAACCATAGGCACTGCAGTCTCACAGCATCTTATAGATTTTCCCTTAAGTTTGAGGGGACTTTTCTATTCGCATAATAAGCCTGCTGCATTCCTTCATTCAACCATCCAACTTGAATTCCTGCTGATGATATCCCCATCCAATTTTCTACCATCACTCTGAATACAATAGATCCAAGATATTTAAAACATGTACTCTTATTAATGACTTTGATCCGCCAAGTCCACAATCCCATCACTAGGTTATTGCCTATAAAAATTATACTCCATATATTCGTTTAGGATCGTACTCAAGCGGGGGGGGGGGGGGGGGGGGAGGGGGGGGGGGCGAAAACTTTAGACTATAATAATATAATAATCTATACAAATATAAAAATCAAATATAATCTATTGTTGATAGCTTTCGCTTCTGTGGTGATTGTCCACTAAATACTCCCAAGTGGGACCTACTAAAAAAGTGAACAACGGACCGAGCTGACAAATTAAATTCAACTAGTAACTCTTATCTTCATATTAAAGCATAAATGACAAATAAATGGGGCATACGTATGACCAATCAAAAGGTAGGAGTGGACATCAACCTTCACTATGATTATGTCCAAATGCCATGATTTCCTATAATAGATTCTATATGCTTAGTGCTACAAGTGTATATGCCAATTATTATTAATTTTCAAGTCATTTCACGCACATAATTGCAACCACACTAGATATATCATAGTACAAAATGACTTACTTAAGTCATTCATTATTTTCAATTGTCTAATTATATATTTATATAGTTTATATATATAAAAACTATATAAACTATATAAATATATACTGATTTTGATTATTGTAGAATTTTTTCTCATAGATTTATTTTGTTCAAAATTGCTACATGAAAGTGTGAAATGGACGCCTCATTTAGATGTTGAGATGGATTCTCCGATTGTCTCCTATTTGGGTCTCGTTTCCCTTCTTAGGCCCCATTTATTTTCTCCGAGGATTCTATTCGGTTTGGGTTCTCTGTTCGGTGAGGTGCCTCTGAAATCGGATTTGGCTACGGCTTTGGTTCGCGCCCGTCCTTGCGCTCGAATTCTGGTTGAGATGGATGTTACCGAAAAAACATGCGGAGAAGGTTTGGGTAGGCTCTGTGGAATCGGGATATGTTCAGTCTGTATCTTCGATGATATCCCTGTTTCTGTAGTCATTGTTTCTTTTGGTCATTCTAAGGATCTTTGCCGATTTTACATCGCTATCTTTAAGTTTCAAAATTGTGATTGAAGCAATGGCGAAATGCCTGTGTTGAATGTGCTGTTCCTGCAGGTGTATCGAATGATATTTGTTATGCTTGAATCGAATTATAACAGGAGTCTGAAGTGCCTGTTTGTTGATTCTGGTAAGGAACTGCGTTTTTTAATCAACCTCGCCTGATGATTATTTGGATAATATTAGGGATGGAATGTATACTAGAATACTGGGGGTTTTGCTGCGCTTATATTGAGCTGTCTCAATGCTTTCCTTTTTTTTCCTTCGTGTGCTGAAATTGGTCAATCGGATGTAATTGAGGGTTAGCCGAATGATAATATGATGTTCGGCTGTTAGTGAGAAGGTGACTTTTAATCTTGCGTAAGCTTGCAGCGTCTTGGCGTGGTTGTGGGGTCGATTCAGATAGTGTCTTGTTGTTGATGACGGTTTACAGTTAAATAATAGGATGGTGTCCCTGTAACGTGGGTGATGAGGTGGTTATAGGATGTGGTTGGTGTGTTGGTTGAGCCGAGAATTTAATCAATGTGTTGTGAATTTATTGGAATCACATAATGGTTGTGGTAGTAGTCCGGAATGCGTTGTTAAGTCTCAATTGTGATTGTTGAATAATTCTTCTGAGGATGTTTGGATTCTGAACTTATTCAGACCCCCTGATAATGAGTTTTAAGATGGGTTGGATTAGGACTCTGAGGGCTGCTAATGCGGGAAATTTTGCGAATCGTGTGGTGGAAGAAATAATTTGTTTTTCTTTTCTTCTTTTTGATGGTTTTTGTGGTTTCTAGGGTGGATATGATGGCTGGGGCTCGCTTCCTCGCTGACTTCCTTGTGGCAAACCGTTGGTGCTTCCCACTCTACTGGCGAGGTCTAGTGCGGTCGGTGCCCTGGTAGTTCTGCCTTTTCTGAGCCCTAATTTTGATTGTTTTTTCCTCATTTATTTTGTATGTTGTGGTTTTTTAGTTTTGGTTTTTTTGATAGACTGTTTCTCTTTTGTAGTAGCTTGGAATAATAGCTCAAGGTTTCTCATTTAATGTTGTTTTTATAGAGAGCTTATAATTTTATAAGGATTGTACCTTCCTTTTATAATATTATCTTTAAATGATTATTATATATATAATATTATATTAATATATAATTATATATATATATTATATATATTATTATATATTTCTATATTAGTTTTATTATATATTTATTAATCGGTTTGTAAATAACCCATCATCGGGAAGTAATAATTATCAATATCAACCCAAAGAAAATTCATTAATTTTCATATCGAGTCGTCACTCTGAGGGCTCGTCTGTCCTGTTTAAGCAAAAATCATAGGTACATCGGCATACATACATCATATTGTGGCTATGTTTTTACAAAATTCACTTATTTCATAATTACATGGCAGTACAAATTGTATAACCATATGATTTATATAAGTTTATTGTTAATTTGGGCATTACATAACTATATGTATGAATTAAATTTTTTACAACATGAAACTATTTAAATGATACAGCTCGGCGGTATCAATGAATAATGTACTTAGATTTCTACTACATGATACTTTCATTATGAAACATAAATAAATTTCTGACATGCACTAATACAATTAATATAAACATTAAATAATGACTGATAACTAATATTTAGAAGCCTCAAACAAGTACAAGGGGTAACACCTTAAAAAAGAGTAGGCCATCATAATTAAAAACCAATATACTAACTAGAATGGCATTAAAATTCAAATTCCATTAGTAAGTTGCACACATTCACCAACACAAAACCAATAGAAGTAATGCCAATAATGATAGTACTAGCAGTTTAAGTCATCTTGATTTAATTGATCTAGAAATAGAGCACATATAAGGTAATCAACTTTCTCAAGACGTTGAATTAGATCACAAGAATTATTAAACAAATTTTTTTCACAATGCGGACTGTTTAATAGATCAGCTAGTATATATATATTTATTCTATCAAATGCATTTCTTAAAATAAGAGCCCCATTGAAGCTATAAATCAATTGCATAAATTTTTGGACACAATTAAATTTAAATGCTATTTAGATTAGCAAAAGGAAACAACTAAGGAGAGAAATGAGAGTAGAAACGAGGGAGAAGAAAGGTGTGATGATGGCTGGCTTATCGACCGTTGAGGAGGAAGATGCAAGGAGCGAGAGAATTTTAGTAGCTGCAGTGAGGCAAGAAACACAAGAGGAAGACAGGGAGGGTTCGGCCAGCAGCTGCGGTAGAGAGGAGGATGATTTGAGATGCCTTTAAGGTTTCCTTTTTTTTTCTCTTAAAATGACGAAGAGAATGCAACCACGAGCAGGAAAAGCATTCGAATTAGGGGAAAATCGTGTGATTTAGCGATTGAGAGATTGTTAGCGAGTGTTGAAGAACCAGGTGCGGGTGGCTGTTTGCGTTCGGCTGGTGCCCGATGTACCGAAGGAGAAGTTCCAACCTGTATCTCTTCTTTCTTTGTTTATATATATATAGTTTTTGTATATTAATTATAATCGGTTTGTCAAATACCCATCATCGGGAAGTTAAATATCAATTATCAACCCAAAGAAATTCAATAATTTTCTATAGAGTCGTCACTCTGAGGGCTCGTCGTCCTTGTTAGCCAAAATCCAATAGGTAACCATCGGCATACATACAATCATATAGTTCATGTGTTTTTACAAATTACCATATAATCGGTTTGTCAAATACCCATCATCGGGAAGTTAAATATCAATTATCAACCCAAAGAAATTCAATAATTTTCTATAGAGTCGTCACTCTGAGGGCTCGTCGTCCTTGTTAGCCAAAATCCAATAGGTAACCATCGGCATACATACAATCATATAGTTCATGTGTTTTTACAAATTACCACTTATTATATAAATTAACATGGCAATAACAAATTGTATAACCAATATGATTTATAGTAAGTTTATTGTTAATTGCATTAAACATAACATATATGTATGAATTAAATTTTTTACAACATGAACTATTTTAAATGATAACAGCTCGTGTATCAATAAATCAATGTGACATTATTTCTACTACATGATACTTTCATTATGAACAATAAATAAAATTTCTGACATGCATAATACCAATAAATAAACATTAAAATAATGACTGATAACCTAATATTTAGAAGCCTCAAACAAGTAACAAGGGGTAACATCCCTAAGAAAGAGTACGCCCATCCAATAATAAAAACAATTACTTACTATGATTGGCATAAAATTCAAATTCCATTACTAGTTGCACACTTCCACCAAACAAAAGCCCAATAGAAGTAATGCCAAATAATGATAAGTATACAGTTTAAGTCATCTGAGTTTAATTGATCTAGGCTACAATAGACATGCCAACATTAACTATCACAAGGATCAATCAACCTTTTTTCTTTTTCACACAATCACACTAAGCGGACCGTTTGAATTTAGAGATCCCCAGCGAGAAATTTATTAAAGAAAATATTTTTGAGACGCGGCTAACTATAAGTTATATATATAATTTATTTCTATCAAATGCTATTCTTAAAAATAGAGACCTCCCCATGCAAGCTATACAATCCATATGAATAAATTTTTGGACAACAATTAAAATTTAATCTAATTTAGCATTAGCAAAAGGAATAACCATTAAGGAGAAGAAATGAAGTAGAAAGAGGGAAGAAGAAAGGTTTGATGATGGCTGCTTATCGACCGTCGAGGAGGAAGAATACGAGGATCGAGGAGAAATTTTAGTAGCTGCAGTGGAGAGCAAGAAACAAAGAGGAAGAAGGGAGGGTTCGGCAGCAGCTGCGGTAGAGGAGGAAGGAAATATGATGCCTTAGGTTCCCTTTTCATCTTAAAATGACGAAGAAGAATGCAACCGAGGCAGGAAAAAGCATTCGAATAGGGAAAAATCGTGTGATTTATGCGATTGGAGAGAGAGCGAGTGAGAAACCAGTGCGGGGGGCTGTTGCGTTCGGCTTGGTTGCGATTTCGAGAGAATCCAACCTGTACTGACTAGTCCAGGTTTGATTATAGTATCGAGAGAATTTCTTGGTACACTAGCAGTTTGCTGCAGTGCTTCACAACATTAATATGCTCTATATTTTCTTGGTTGCTGGTAATAATGCCCTACTTCCATACATTTTTTGTACATATTTTGGTTTCTGAAGCACATTCCCTAATGATTCTTCTTTGATATTTCTTTTGTAAAAGCCCACTTCTTTGACATTCCCTAATGATCCTTCCTCTATAGGCTTTATTACCTCAACTCTTTCATGTCTCATGCAGGTGTCAATACTAAGGTCTACAAGACAAACAAATTGCAGAGATCTCAATCATTTTGCAGCTCGCATCGACCTGATCTCAAAATCAAATTAGATTCTTGTATGGTGATCTGAAGCTGTATGTTTGGTTGTATGTTTTCATTTTCTGTGGGCCTAAATTAGATGTCAAACACCTAAGTGAACAAAACTTACAATTTTAGAAACATTGATAAAAACCAAAAGGTTACTGATTACAAATTCATAAATGTTCAAAATTTTGAGTGAGAATAATCACAATGAGCTTTGCAATCATCATATTTGTTCTAAAGTAAATAAATATATTATTACAATCTTTTCAAAATAATTTTTTGAGTCATATATTCAAAGATGGTTTCACTAATTGCAAGTTGTGTAAAAACAGAAACCAATATCGTTTAATACTATTAAAAACAAATTCCAGATTCGCCCAAATCTTGAAAGAATAATTTGGGTCATAATGAATTTTAAGCTATTAAATTTGCTTTAAAAAGTGTGGAATTTATAAATAATAAATTAACTCTTATAGTTGCCTATTTTAATGTAAAATCAATAATTAAAAAATCATTTTACTCAAAATCCTGACTAAAATTTTCCATCCAAATATGAATTTGCCAATTATAAGAACCATAGCTTCAACACTTAATACCTTGTATTTGATTCCATTAGTCCATGGTAACACAAATAGTACATGATTTTATATAGAGATCACATAATAAAAAAAAAAATCTAGCTAAAATGGAGAACTACTACTATTTTAATAATCTTGCTTTAATTACTGCACCCCATTTGTGCAGGTCAAAATTGCATCCTTTAGTTGTTCTTTGTTCAAAGAAGCTTGCACTATAATCTGCAAAAAAAAAAAAAAAGAGCATTTATTGTTCAACCATTCAAAAAAGATAAAAAAATTCAAAAAAATTAAGTTTGAGTCATTATTATTCTATACTTTAAATATAAGTTTGCATCATAGAATAGTTTATGTTTAGCTCGATAAGTTAAGGAGCTGAACACAAATAAAAATAAGCTTTGATTATCAACCAAGAGGTCTTGAATTCAAGTCTTACGTAAATGATGTGTGCGTGAATGTCCTAATTGATCTAAACATGCTTAAGCTCAGTTTTTATACACCATTAGTCTTAGATTCTTTAGAATAATTCATGATTCTTGAATCCAATGGCTATGAACAGAAAGCTGGAGCCGGGGCTTTCAGACAGGAACAAAGAAACACAGGACTTGGAATTAGCAAAGTTATTAATAGGTGTATGCTTCATACAGATAACACAATTTCCTGTAATCTATTCTTTTATATTTAGTTTAACAAAGAGCTATTTCTATAAAACACTACAATTTGATCTTTTTATGAAGATTAAAGATAGTTTGACATTACTTTGTAAACAATGAGAACTATATCATTCGAAATGCAGACATTTCTAACAAGCCCTAAGGCTCCAAAATTTGACAGGGAGTCCATGTAGAAGTCTTATTTCCAAATTGACAGCAAAAAAAGTGATCATATATGTTGGTAATTGAGTTAAAAGAAATAGATCCTTGTACCTCTTGGACCTTGTTTTCATAACGGGCGAGCAGTTTGTATTGATTGTCAAACATGGAAGCCATATAGACCTACAGCATAAACATTTTGAGGTACATCAAATTTTATGTGGAAAATGTTATGATGATGAATTGGCCAAATAGCAAGTTTAATCGCTCAAAACATGGATTAATTATTCTATGCAGACGCCGAACGTAGTCCGGAGACCAACCAAAATGCGCCATGTCACCCGTGCACTTGGTACCGTGGCTAGGTACTTCTCGGTACTGCTGACGTGGTGCATTCTGATTGTTCTCCGGACGGCATTTTGCGTCCGATCTCCGCACATAAAAATTTCTCCAAAACACGCCAGGTCTTTAAACATAAAGCAAGACATCTACACACACACAACCAAATTTGAAGATTTTAAGCTTAAAAAATCATAAATAAATAAACCTTTTGTCAGGTAAGCTCGCACAAATAACTCTCCATTGCTGTTTACCTGAAAGGTTGGAGCTAAACCAGGACTCATGAAAAAACGCCCTTTGGTTACATCGTCAACTCCATCTATCCTTTGCAATTCCTTAATAAGCGAGTCAACATCTGCCCACTGAATGCATTTCAGGTACCAGTTGTTAGAGATGGTTGCCATTGTTAAGAAGAGTAGATCTGCTATATAAATATATAAATATATGTGAGACTTAATCCTCAAGGTCGTCAATACTTGAAGGCACTCAACTCCATCATATATTTTTCTTATATATCAATTCGTCCTTCTTGTTTTGGTGTTAATTGCTAGTGATCAAAATATCATGTCATTTTATAACTTAGATGACATTTCTTTTGTTTGCAATGGACATTCCAGTGTTTATAGCTAAGGGCCCATCACTTGAATTCATGGCTACCTAAAAAAGACTTCTTAGAGTTACTATGAGCAGTTCTTTTGTTAATATGAAACTTACATGACTACCTTGAGGATGTAAACCCCCTAAAGCTGGTAAAATAACAAACAATTTACTATAAGATGATGTTCAAACCTCAACATCTGCTTGTGCAGACTCCAGATTCTTGCCCAAAGAAGTTCCACCACCAATAACAGATTCCAAACTTTCAATTAATGGGTCTGGCTGGAAGAAAGTTCAGTTAAAAATGGAAGTCATTACAAAAATGTAGTCTGAAAGGTAAAACAGCTAGAAAAAATGGTTAATAGATACAAAGAAGTGACATATTTATCATACCGTTACATCTTTTAATGATAATGTGATGCGTTCAAACGCAAAATCCAATTGGTGAACTTTTGCCTCCACAACCTGACAAAGAATGACAGAATTGAAAAGTTCTTTAAAAAAACTTCAATAAAAAGTACTATGAGTCGGAGTTTGTCTATCTGTGGAAATGAATTGGTAGAGATAATACAGAAAAAGACAAGCGACACCCAGGATACATACATCATAACCTCTTAATCATAACACATGGCCATAGGGTATTTTTCCAGAACATCCCATTTGATGATATTTAAAATAAAACAGTGAAACTGATACTATATTCTCACTATATGAATGATACTGAAGAACAAGGCAAAAACATGGTGGATACATATTGCACAGAAATATGATAAAACTACTGTAAATATTTTGCTTATTTCACAAAAAAATTTTCTTTTAGACAAAATAATCAAAATATTGGCGACCTTGGTTATATAAGCTCCCAGTTACAGCCTTTCATTTATATCCTCCTGTTATCTCAGAATAATAAGCTTCTAAATAAAAAATAAATAAAAGATTATGCATCAGCTTTAGACTTAGGCTTCGTTTGGGACGACTTTCTGACTTCTTTTTAAAGCAGCTTTCTAGTACAATAAACTAAAAAGCTGCTTTAAGAAGCTGTCTCAAACGAAGTCATACTCATCATAAAATAGTATAAAGAGCTCTAGGAAGCAGATAACCACATATTCATGAGCACTACAAGTGGAACTGCTACGACAGTTTCTTAATGATTTCCTGATATTCTTAGTGGACAGCGCTAGGAAAATGTATAGATAAAATAAAGTTTTCCAAGATTTTAGTTGTACCTGGCCAATTTTGAAAAAAGCTGATGGATCTAATGTCATATCCCATGATATTTCAGACTGGTGAATCAGTGCTGATACTCCTTCAACCTTTCAATAGTTTCTATCATTACGAGGCCTCATACAAACCAATAATTAATGGTTGAATGAAGAAGAATACTGTTGTTACCTCAACGAATATACCAAAGTATGTAATTTTTTTGACGCAGCATTTTACAATGTCCCCAACATTAAGTTTAGCCTGCATGAACATTTCTCAATAATTTAAGAAGAAAGATAAAGCGATGTGATGGTAGACAGTGTTTCACTAAATTATATAAATATAATAAATTAAAATTAAAAGGAGTCGTAAGAAATCATAGATATTATTCAGAGAAAATATAAGTGATGTGATGGTTAATATTGAATAGAAACAAGAAAGAAAATATATTAGACAGCATAAAAAAACTTCCAAATGTGAAGGAATAAATTTTGTATTTGATAATAATAATAAAAAAATCAGCCAAAGAAATTAAAATTAAATATTGATTCCATTCAAAAAGTCAGTAAGATCTTCGTGTTGGAGGAAATTTATGTCAGTGTAATAGAATGATCTGGTATTGTATGAGAGAAAATTAATTTATGATATGATCATAACACGGTGGAAACTAGCAAAGATGAAAGTTTAGAGAGAGTAATATCTTCAGGTTCGAAGTTGTGGACATTATTTATATAGTTTTGAGCTTTTCTGGTTACATCGTGATAGTAAGCCAACAATCTGTTCTTGAGTTGGCAAATTGAAATTAAAGAATGCACCCATAGTGGATCAAATCACAAAGACATATGGCATCAACATAGACGATATAAAGGATGGAGGAAAGTTTGCCCTCTATAATAGTCATAAAAAGTCCTACCAACAACAACAAGCAACAACAACATCAAGCCTTTGTCCCATTATGTGGGGTTGGCTACATGAATCCTTTTTCTTCATTGTGTCATGTTAAAAGTCAAATTCTCGTTTAAATCTAATAAAGAAAGATCATTTCTAATATTTTCTAACCAAGTCTTTTTAGGTCTACCTTTACCTTTCTTAACATAAGACAAATCTAATACCTCTACTTTCCTAACCGGGTCATCGGAAGGCCACCGTTTTATGTGACCAAAACATCTAAGGCGACTCTCTCTAATCTTATCTTCCACTAGAGCTACTCCAACCTTTTCATGTATATACTCATTTCGTATTCTATCTCTAAGGGCAAAGCCACGCATCCACCTGAGCATCCTCATCTCTGCAACACTTAACATAAAAAGTCCTACCAACAAAAATAAAATAAAAAAACAATTGATTGGCAATGGCTAAACCATGTTTTTAGTTTCAGTCAAAACCAATCCATTTTGGCAGTTTGAAGTCGGTTTCAACCAAAACATATTTGAATTCGATCAAAACTTTCTGTTTCTGTATATTTTATTACGAATTCCAGTAGTTTTGGATGGAAGCATCGAAATTTGGTCGCTACAGTCAAAATAAAGGAATTCATATCACATTTGCAACAAACTTAATAGCTAGGGTTAAAATTCAATGCAATGGGTAAAAGTCCTTTTGCCATCTCTATAAACTTCCAGCTAACGAGAAATGAAATTGATAGACCCAAGTTGTTTAACCATGTTTTAACATACGTTTAGATATTAAATGACTCTACATCAAGGTTAAAAGTTATGAACAGATAGTGAGACATGGAAGCCAACATATTTAGGCTTCATTTGAGACAGCTTTCTTATTACATTCTATAGTAGCTTTCTAATATAAAAAAATTTAGTTTAAAAAAATTTTGTACTAAAAAATTGTTTTAATAAGCAGTAATAAAGCCGTCCCAAACAAAGCCTTGGTTAACAAAAGAACCAGGATAGAGTCAAGGAATAGGCCAAAGTTATACTAAGAAAGCCATTAAACAAAAAAACCCAATCCATAAGAAAAAAAGAAAGCCCAATGCTTGGATGGTAGAAGACTTAAATAAAATAAGAAAAAATGTGGCATCTAGAAACTTATTAACATGCAAAGTTGTGAAAGACCATCTAAAAAGGTTCACCCACTTACATCAACCAACTACGATAGTCACAATAACACCTTATAGATATAAATAAAGAGCAAATTGTTTCTTTTTCCTCAGGATAAATTCAAAGGTCAACGTAAGTAAACCAAAAGAATTAGGAGTAGGGCACTCAATTCCAAAAAAATTCAATTCTAACAAAAAGCAATTTTATGAATTTAATCAAATAACAGATGTTCAGCATGTCCAAATGCTAGTACATGAGTTTTATCCTCCTATGGCCTTCAAGAAGCAAAGATCTATATCATGACATCTATTTTCATATTAGAACATTATTTTCTAAGAATATTAAAAAAGGCTAATAAATACCATTAGTTTTCTCTTCTTCTCCACCAATTCTTCATTTTCTTTTGGCCGTCCTGAAAATATTAGTCTTCTTGAACTTCTATCAGCATGTATAACAGAAACTCTCAGCCTCTGAGAAAATACATAATATTAACAAAAAATCAACCCAAGCCAATAAAGAAATGAGTTGAATAAAAATTCAGTTTACAATTAATTTCAAACCTGACCAACAAAGGAGGACAAATACTTTGTTTTCTCCTGTTCGTATGCCATGAGGAGTTCTTCGAATTTCATATCCGACGACAGCATTTTGTCTTTTTCTAGAATTTGACTGGAATCTAATGCAGGGTTCTCACTCTGATCAACATAATTTCCCACAATGCTAAGATTCTTCCTGTATAGCAAAGGATCCAAACCTTTTTTTCTTAACCATGATTCAAAAGCTAGAAATTTCCATTTGGTACCAAGATTGCGATATGGTAAGAAGCCAATTAAGGAACCAAAAGATGCCTGAGAAACAATTAAAAGTTTTCATGTTAATGCACTAATACTGTCTTCGAAATAAGAATGCATACTGTGAGGAAAACTTGGGAACTTCAAGCATACTACATAATTTGTAGAAACGGCAATCAATTGTTAGACCGGTCCAGCCAGTTCATGCGGGACCGGCCCAAGCGCGAATGAGGCGGATATTCTCCGAATCTCCGCCTCCTGCTATAGCCGCACGAGCTACAAAGCCCATGGAACTTTTTAGGAAGGATTTTTGAGGGATTTGGGAGGGAAATTTGAATGTAGGGAGTATTTAGGGATTTCCTTTTGATTTGTTTGCATTAAATATTTTGTTTTCCTAGGGTTAGGGCATCTTGAATTTGACTAAAATTTGAGATCTCCTAGATGAAGGTTTTTCTTTGGACTCTAACGGCGTCTAGAAATTTGGGAGAGATCGATCCTCCTCTCGAATAGATGATCAATTGTATCTTGCTATTTTCCAGTTCCCTTTCATCAAAGAATATAAATTATCTACTATTTTTGTGATTTTGTGCGGATTTTTTTGAGAGAATTCTCGTTGTTTTCCGAAGATTGATAGGAAATACTAGAGGTCTACAAATATTTCCTATCATCAACACATCCAACATAGCTTCAATTGCAGGTGATTAGAATCTGCCAGTGGCAGAAGTGTCACTCACATTTTGCTCAATATGAGACCTTCCTTTCTGCCAATTAGTGCATGCACCACATCAAATGGCAATGCCATTCCCAAGTTATGAGTGTAGTAATAAATTATGAACTTCACTTCATAGAACTATGGACCAGGTCGGTAGGAACAATTCAATCATTCAAGGCACTCCAACTAGGTTAATCCAGTCAAACGAGACCATACGGAAATGATAATTTAGCAAATTAATAGCTGATTTTGTCAATTTCAATTCCAAAGACCGAATCTCCATTTGTTTCTGTTAGGTGAGTTTCCCTCTTCTTCCTCTTGCTGTGTGAGAGCACAGGTGGATGACAATGAGTGGCTGCACTAGGCACATGTGTGTTTCTTTTCTCAACCATCTACAGGGCTCTCCAAGCCAGCAGTTCCTATTCTTCTGCTGTATCCCCCGTTGATTCACTAACTAAATTCTACGTACTTATTAACTTAACCTTTTGGTTATTTTAATACAACTATGATTAATAGATTAATTATCATATCATTTAAAGAGATACTTATAATAAACCAAAAAAATTCTAAATTTGCAAGTCATTAAAGATCTTTTATGATATGTTTTTGATGTATTGGTGACCAACAGACCATATTTCTGAACATCTCATAATAGTCAAGAATTTAATGTCCTCTTATTAATTAATCATTAAAATCATAACTAGCAACATAAATACTATTTTAATCATTACTTTTACTTTATTAATCCATACAACTTCTTTGCTATAGAAAACTTCAGATTAATTATTTATATATTATAATTTACTTTATTAACGTCTAAGCTTCTTATTTGAGCATAATTATAATTGCTAATCCAAACATATTCAAACTTCCAATTCACTAATCTTCGAGTGGATGGCAAAAAGCTTGAAAAGAAACTACTGATTACACATAATCGCTACAAAACAAAATTCCGTATTACCTCCATAGATACTAATCATTAGAAGGTTCAAAATCTCTGATTTTAAGCAATCTTAATTAGCAACCAAATAGCCTCTGCAAAGGATATGGAAGGTGTCATTAATGATTAAACTTACCACGAAACCTCTGCTGCTGCAGCTAATCAGCTCTACTTCAGCTCTTTCTCCTAACTTAAGCATCCTTTCTGCCCTCTTCCAATCATGATCTTGACGCCTCTGTATAATTTTGCATTCTTCATTATAAACTTAGTTATTTATTTAAAAAATATAGTTTTAAACATGTAAGTTTAATCCTCTAAGAAATATCCACTTCATAAACATTAGAAAACATAGGTACTCCTTCAACTTAAGCATATTCATAGTCTCAACATACACAGCCATTCTCAAGTCCCGACAACTTTACCTCTTCATCAGCAGATTGAAACTTAACAACATCAGCAGAACTACTGTAGGTGTTGTCATTGGTAGCCCCCAATCCAGCTGTATAAAGACCTTCTCTATCAGAATATTCTTGCCTGCACTAATATTTGTCACATTAAAAGAAATCTATATAGTAGCATTTGATGATGAACTATTGTCATTCAATTATAATCATGGAAACCGCAAACATCAAGAAACTAAAATAAAAACATGTAACTATACGCTTAATCTATATATATTAACCAAGAAAGTGCATATCGAATAGGGGTGTAAAGAGCCAAGTCGAGTCAAATATTTGTCTAATTGAGCTAAGCTTGTTTAGTTCTTACTAAGCTCGACTCAAGCTCGTTTAGAAAGCTCGAGATCGACTTGATTTCTTCGTTTTAATTTAAAATTTTCAATTTTTTTAGATTTTTTAATTTTAAGATAGAATTAATTTAAAAATATATTATATAAACCTAATTTAAATTAATTTTTAGATATGTTTTAAGTTAATCGAGCGGCTTAATGAGCTTTCAAGTCAAGCTAGGCTGAGCTCAAGCTCGAGCTCAAACTCTAGGCTCGATAAGCTCGACTCGTGAGCTCGTTAACGAGTCAAGCTCGAGCCCGCTCATGAACCGACTCGACTTGCTTACACCCCTAATATCGAACATTACAAAAGATGGAAAAGGCAATCACATCTAACACGCAGGAAACTAAATATATCATTATATTCACATCTATTTGGCATAAGGAATTAGGCAAGAAGCCTTACCATAATGGCTGATTCCCTAAAGCTCATAATGGCTTATTCCCTAAAGCTCAGTATCACAACAATTGCATCTTTTCCTATTTACTCTTCAAACATTCCTCTTATTATATTTTCGTTATTACTTTTGTTTGGTCCCACAACAATTGAGGGATGTAAGTGGACTTGGGGCACAAGTACTGCAAGTTGAGACATTTGCTCAAGGCATTTATTATAATCACGAATGGACCGTCATTGGAGGAGGAAGAAGATGTTGAAAGACCACGGGACCTACCTACAAGTCAACCAAACTTATTAGGGATTTTTTAGCACACAGATTAATAATTCTATTCATTTGATAGATCCTCTCATAACTTTTACATTGCAATCCACATGTCTCCCCTTTCTATTGTAGCCACCGACCTCTCTTAGGAATATATATATATATATATATACTCCCACACTTCGTACATAATCAAGTAATAAAATTCAAAGTAGTTTTTTCATATTTCTAATTTTCCACGGAAGAAACACCTCACCTTGGAAGCTAAACATAGAAGATTTCTCAAATAGATCTCAAAGTATAGAAATGGAGTTCACCATATTATGATAGTCTAATGCATCACCGATAGCACTCAAATGGCATTTGATTTTAGGACCAACAATTACATTGCATTAGAGTTGATTGTATTTCTATTATCAAAATAGTTAGTTTTGGTCGTGTGGTCATTTGACCAAGTTTTCCTGCTGAGGTTTTCTTTTGGGACCTAATCTATTTTGTAAAAAAAAAAATCCTAAATATATCAATATATAAGACATTCAATGTATATGAAATGTAATGTGACGAAAAACAATATGATAGAATCTATAAATGCATTTGTTTATGGGTTTTCCTTAGGACAATAAAGCAAAGAGAATCTAATTCATAACATAACACATAGTATTCAAATTGTTAGGAACCATGCAATTCAATAAAAAAACTATTCACTAACAATGATTCAAAATTTGGACAAAATTTATTTTTAGCCACCACAAAAATTTATTTGGAAATTTTTATTAAGATTATTGTTATTATTATTACTCCTTTTTCTATAGTATTTTATTTTTGACTATTGTCATTGTCAATCTCAAGCTTAGATGAAAAATATTGAAGGTTGATGTTAGTCTGATAGCCAATCATCAAAGCTAGAGAGAAATGAATTCAAAATTAAATTTAGCTAGTGCTAGGGCATTCCTCAGAAATGACGTGCAATGATCTAATCCAATTATGATAAGCATAGGCAATGGTGACCCTTTAAATGACGCACAAGGGTTACCCTTTAAAAGATGCATCACAATTTTAACCTAATTATAGTGAAAAGTAAGAAAGGGTTGACCAGTTTTAAGCCTATAATCAAATTTACCATGTGAAAATTTGAAACTTCAAATGAAAAGGCTTGATGTTAATGAATGGAAAGGCAATAGAATTGAGGGACATTGTGATAAGAAGAAAAATAAATATTACTTGTTTACGATAAATCAAACAAAAATGACTAAAATTCAATTATATTAGAAAAGAGAAAAAGATCAAAATGGTCTTTTGACTCTTTATGAAAGAACAAAATAGCCCACAACTATATTAAAAAACTATTTTGGTCCCTCAACTCCTTAAAGACTAACCAAAATAGTCCCACTTTGAGACTATTTCAATTCCTTTTTAAAGACTTGAGGGAGCAAAATGTTCCTTTAATATAATTGAGGACCATTTTGATCCTTTTTTATATTAGAAAATATTATCAATTATTGAATGTTAAAAATTTAACAACAGCTATGGGGTTGGGGTGTTGAGCTAGCAATAGATGAAAAGTTGAAAGATAAAATTATTGAGGTTAATAATTTTTGTGATAGGATAATTTCTATTAAGATAATTATCAACAAGAAAATTATGCACATGGTTAGTGCTTGAGCTGCTTTAGTTGAATTAGAGGATGGTTTAAATTTTTTATATTGGATAGAGATGGATGACGTAAATTATTGACACTAGAGTGATTTCAGGTTGATTTTTCATAAGGAAAATTGAATAATACATATAGAAATTGTTTGAACATTTCACCCTCATAGATGACTTTATGATCTAGTTTGAGGTTTTATATGAGAACAAATCCCTATGGCTAATTATCCCTTGTGTTGGCGAGAGAAACTTTTTGATTAAGTATAGTCTATAGGTTATACGATGCCACACTTTTATATCAACAATTTTGATTGGGGTAAAAATATACTATTATTGGAATAAACCATATAATGGAGTAATAACAATAAACCAAATTAAGATGTGATGGCTCCAACATTACATATTGTCATGGTCCCTAGTTTATTTGGTTATATTGGGTGAATGACTTAACCTGACAAATATAATCATGTAAACAACCATGAGTTGTGTCGTCTAAGGATACCTTATAAACTTGGAGTAAAATTTTTATCAAATTAGTTAATTTAAGTCAATCTTGATGAACAAAAGTCTCATGTTCTATCAAGTGAGTTTTATGACTCACAACTCATAGACTTGACCATGGGAAAACATTCGGATTTAGCCATAACTATAATATAATGGTGGCATCACAATTAGGCTAATTATTTGATTAGGGGGCATATGTCATATCCCTAAGGGGCGAGATTGTTGAGTTTGATATAAAGATACAATTGATGTGAGATTAGCTATTTGTGATCTCTGTTTAGGCCTAAATTTTTCATTCTTACTAAACAAGTGTGAAGGATAGATTAGTGGTTGCTTAAAGCATGAAGCTGATGGTTATGGCATAAACCTATATATATATATACTTCAATCAGAATTAAATTCTCTCCTATTATGATTTTGCTTTGATCTTGCCACCATTTGGAATGGAGCTTTTTGAATTTGTATTTTTGATGACGACTATGAGATCCAAAGTACAATCCATTTGCAAAATTTAGCTCTCCGCATTATTTAAAAGCATACTAACATCAATAATGCTTTACCTCCCTTAAACAAGGTGGACCTAAAAGATAAAAAATCAAGGTTGTAAAAACTCGACCGGAGATAGAACCGAAAAAGAGAAAGATTCAAGATTCAATGGTTCGATCGAGGTTGAACCGCAGTCAAACTGAATAACGTAATAAATATTAAAAATATTTAAATGATATCGAAATAATAAGATAATAATATAATAATTATGCAATAACATACTTTTGAGATTAAAAATAAATAAAATTCATACATAAATAATATATTCTATAGTTTTAAATATAAATATAAATATCCACAACCATTAATTTTAATTCACATTTAATAGAAATTTAGTTCATATATAACTATAAATATATAAATTTAATATAAAATCAGATTAACGTGATTGTTTTATGATCTTAGCTTTTACGCTCGTGATTCGGCCTAAGCTTATTTTACCACTCATAGTGCTTTCTTTTGTCGTTAGAGCATTCTTTGTGAAGATATGATTATTATGGCTTCTAACATTAAGCGTGCAAACTCCTTAATTTAATCATCCATGCTAATACGTTTCACATCACTGGTCCAGCTTTCAAAACAATGCAAAATATTCTTATGTTATAATATTCTCTAAAAAGTAAACAATGTGTGACAAATCAGCTGATAGGATGTTTTACTAGACTTCATTATCAGCTGTCAAATATAGTTTAAAAACTGCACATGACTATCCCCTCTGGATAATGAACTAGGCGCAATTGATATTTTTAAATAGGAGACCACAAAATAAATTAAAAAAAAAGTACCTGTCAGGTTTCTCAAGCAATGCAGAATTCATAGAGATATTATTTTTATGACGGATTGAGTTCTCATGCAAAGATATGCTGGAAAATTGAGCATCATTTTGTTGAACGCCTTTTTGCATAGGCAGCTGTAACCCTTCAGAAATGAAAAGCAATTAAACTTCCAGAGTACATATAAACATTCAAATTAAAGAAACTACAGCATTACCTATGAGCAAATCACCATCCAATTCAGATGACTTCTGACTGAAATCACAATTATCATCTGCAGTCCCTTCACTCTCATTATCCCTCACTGCCTTAATATCATAATTTGCAGATCTATCACAGCCATCTATGGTATCTTCAGTATCCATAATTTCCAACCTCGTAGAGCTCATATCAACCGAGTTATCACAGATAATACTCTCTTCAAAAGTTATACTCTCTTCAAAAGTTATTGAAGGAACCTGGACCACTTCTGGTTTCTTCAGTAGGGTGACGTCTCCAGAAGATTGAGGAGGACTTGACCGCATTTTAAAGTATAGATTAGGCTTGATTTTAAAGTTTGAGCTATTTTCTTCAAAGTCATCATCATGATAAACAGAAGGCTTTCGCAAAGAAATATTAGAAGTTGAAGTTTTCTTGTTCACATTTCCTGGCAACAGTTTTTCATGTCCCTCAACAAATATAGGTTTTTCTTCCAGCATGCTTGATTTAGTGACTTTGTTCATGACAGGGCGAGACAAATTTAGTTTGCTCTGCCTTTGTAAATTCTGGGCCTTGTGACTCTGTTGAGAAGAAAGATCTTTCCCCACTAATACATCCGTTGGCATGTCCATAAGATCATCCAGTTTGCCCTTGTCCTTTCTAAATGACTTTTCAACATCAAGATAAGAGACATGTGGGTTATCCTTTCTTGCCATTATCTGCAACAGATAGAAACATCAAAAGCCTCTCAAAGGGATAAAGGGAATGTCCAGTTTCATTAAATCAATAATTCACTATAAAATTGATTATTCTTCCATAAAATCTCAAACAAATCAACTCTAGAGATTGCAAAATGTAGATGCTGAAGATAATATAATGAATCATCATATACATATAGGATAGTTCTTAAAGCTCAGATATAAAATCGTGAATGTTGTATGTGTATATATATAGAGGCGTCCAAGAAAAAAAAAGGTTCAGGATGCCCTCCAAAAGGTTGGGCTAAGCAAACCCAGGCTAGGGTTTGGGCTTACTTCAGGTTGGCGAACCATTTGAGCTGGCTACATCAAACTCAAAAGGCAACATATATTTCAAGGGATACTTCAAAAACTATAGCAAGGCCTCATTTAAGAAAATACCACAAACTCCTTTACACTAAGGCTACATGATGTAAACAAGGGTTGATAGAAGGGGAACTAAGAAATTAGGAGAGAGAGAACCAATGGAGGAGAGAGAGGAGTGATAAGAAGAGGTTTTAGTTTTCTATTCATCAATTTAATTGATCATATACTAGTCATGGATACCTTATTTCTATAAATAAGGATACAAAATCAATTTAATTCAAATATAATCCTAACTAAACCTACAAAATTCAAATTTTAATCAAACATTATCCAAACAGCATTATTTCCCCATAATTTCATAGTAAAATAAAACTAAAAATCCTAACAAGCTTGAAATAAACTCAAAATCTAGTTTCTTCTTCTATATAAATTACCTTGAGCACGAAAAACTCATCTTTTGAAGAGTTACATCAGGACTTTGTGAAGAAGTTTGGAGGGCATGGTAGAGATGCGGGAACTTCTTCATGAACATCCTCTAAATACACATGGGAAGAGGTTTTACATTACAATTTTTTAATGCATCACTTCTTACCACAAATAAAAAAAATTAAAATTCAATCGCTAATACTAAAATGCCTAAATTCATTTTTTGTCGTTGACATGTTACAGTCTGGATCTTCAGTGGCATAATTACTAAAATTTCAGTTTTCTATTTGTTGTCACTCCTACAATTGCTAAAATCTTGGAATTCTCTTTGCTGCCTCTTATTTTCCCTTTTGGGGATAAATTCACATGAAAATTATTAAAACTAAGCCGATTTCTATTATGTGTTAAAAGAATCGAAATATTTTGCTTTTATTATATCTAGGAAGGTTCTGAGAAATGGATTATCTATTGGACACTTGAGGCATGTAAAAGAGATAAAACCTTGTTTTGCAATAAGAATTCCAGTTTTGATGAATATATATTTTTCGAGCATTTAGTAGGTGTTGACGAATAGTTTAAGGCAAGTCTCCTTATACCACTGCAATGCCTGGATCTAACTTTTGGGTGATTTCTATCATGGTTCTTGTTTAATTTGTTTGGTCGTTGGTTCATTTGTGTGCTTAAATTTTATCAAATGTGATATATACTAGATTTTGTTTTTGAAGTGTTAAATATATTATTGCTGAAATTTACATTTATTCACTATTTTATTGTGAAATTTCAGAATTTGATGACTATTCAAATTATCTTTTTATTTTAAAAAAAGAGGTTTTATTATTTTTATATTAAAAATGATGGAATTTTGTTGAAGTATTGGTAACCTGTAGATTGTGATTTCTATTATGTATTTTATAGTGCATCTCTTCCTAAGTTGTATTAGTAATCTTAGACCCTTAATTGCTATACCCCACATCTTCCTTAGAACAATCACACAAAATATCTTCTAGTCACATTGCAACGGTAGCTCAAATTCAACACTCTTGGCATTGAGCATAAAAATTTGATCATAGCAACTAGAAATTTCCTGGAGAAGTTTTAGGGGCAATACAAAAATTTGTATTTTTCACCTATAGGGTTTGGAAGCATTAATATTGACTAGAAGCTCCTCAAGCTCAAATACAATAATTACAGTAAATTTGTGGAGAAGATTTAGGGGCAATACCAACATTTGTATTTTTCACCTATAGGGTTTGGCAAGTATTGATATTGACTAGAGGCTCCTGAAGCTCAAATAAAATAATGACATTTGAAAAAAAAAAAAGTTTAATCTTTGACTCAAAGTCATCTTCAAAGACATAATCATCATCCTAGGACACAAACTATAATTTACACTCATAACTAATATCAGGCACAACCTCAAGTTCATAAAGAGGCGTGACCATTAATGATTACTTGTATCATCCTCAAGTTCTCCTACAAAATTCAAATCATCATTAAAAAAAAAAATCACACATTTTGAAAGAATAAGGAATATATATGTTAGGGGTGTCAAAACGGGTTGTCAAGTCGGGTTCGGGTCCAACCCGAACATGACCTGCCATTAACTGACCCGAACCAGTTAGGAAAACGGGTCAGGAACCCAAACCTGAACATGCGCAGCCGAGTGTCCTTCCGCATGTATTTGCTAGATGCAGAGGATTTCACTCAAATAATATCATGCAATATTCTATCTAAATGCAGAAATCCCGCACACTGCGACTATATAGTGTGCAAACAAAAAATGTAAAATGCATAAGCCAATATACGTGATACGTGCAGATGCATCGTATACGTCCACTACATACATGCATACATATAAATCTATCACACAAAATGCACTCAACAGCATATACCCCCGCATGGGTCCTAGCGAGCGTTTTGTAGGTACATACATGACTTTTGAGGATGCCATGCGGGTTAATAAATGAATTTTGATTCGAACTCGATCCTTTGTCGGCAAGTAGACAGAGTTAACAATGTTCAATCAACAAAAAATGAAATAATCTATGAAAACTCTGATGATGACGGTGTTGACAGAAAATCTCAATAGGAAGGGGACTACAAACATTTATAATGTCTCCCAAATGCCCATAAAAATCTAAAATTCCAAAATAATCACCCAAGACCAAGATATTTAAAATGAAATTAATCATCAAATACTTAAAGCAAAAATACACATCAACCTTCCGCAATAGTTTGACATGATGGACAAATCTGAAAAACTAATTTGGCTCATACAGAGTTAATGTATAGTCGAAAATATCACTAGGATTTATTCTCAATCTGTTTATTGTCAATAAGGACGTGGCACGTGTCATCTAACTGGTGGTCTCACCACCAAATGACACCACAAGTAAACGGTTATGATTAGAACCCTCTGAACAGTGTGGTTTTGCCATCAAATGGCACCACTAAATTATGGTCATCGTCATAGCTCGTATGCTCCTCAATGGCATCAAACATTTGAGTAATGAATCAATAAGATATAATCGATAGGGCATAAAGCCCTCTATCAGCTAAAGAGGATTCAAACTTGTTCTCTTAGACAAATATCTACCCAAGTCTACAAGTTACCCTTGGACGAAGTAACTCATGGCTGCTGATAAGGATCCTTCTGTCAGATTGGGTCTACATCCTCCTCAAACTAAGTAGACCAATTACCATGATGACCCAAGACGACGAAACTATGGGATCTTGATCGGGCTCATCATCATTCCCCCACCATCCGCTTTAAGTGCAAGGTGGTAAATTTCTGATTTTAAATATTAAATTTCAAATACCTATGCCCTGCTGCTACTATATGTCAAATACCACGTATCTGATAAACGACTGGTCTTAATCGAAAGTTCTCTATCGTTATTGGGAGGGGTAATTGACTATAGGGGCTTGCGCCTATAGGAAAACAGAATTCTGATCACAAAGTCCTTGCAAAATGAGGGCGAATCTCTGGTTTGTGTCTTATTTAAAACATAATCTGCCTTCTAAAAGTTTATCCCGGAACCTACGGTTGTTCTGAGGGTTTTCTATTTTATGTTTAGTTTGTTTTGTTTGATTTTCTAATCATTTTCTCATATATTCTTTTCTATTAAGTCACTATCAGTTTGTGTTTGTTTAAGTTATTTTGAAGAAAGCGATTATTTGCATACCTTGTGTTCTCCTACTAGGCATAGGAATCCTAGGTTGCATAAGGTACAAAAGGATATATTATGAAAGGAAAACAAAGGAGTCTAAGGAGATCCAAAAGGTAAATACTATTGATAATACAAACGATTATAAGGAAGACAGAAGCCCTATACGATGGTAGCGAGCAAAACAAAAGCTACAAGTTTTAACGATTTATAAAATAGATTAAGAACTACAAAAAAAAATTTATCTATAAAATAACTAAGGTAACATATAAGATATTTAGACCCTTTGATCAAGTTCCATGCATTTGTTGTCAATAAGGCTAATGACGGTGGACCTTCTTTGAAATCTTAAAATCTTAATCACCTCGTCAAAGTGTTATCTTTCTTGATGCCATATATCATAATTTAGGGCAAGGCAATATTATATTTGATTTCTTAAATTTTTAAAAAAAAAAACTTTCCCCTTTATGATATAGCTCAAAGAAAAGAAGTAGAAGTGAAAGTAGACACCATCCATAATAATCACTTATCCAATCAGGATTCACTCACTCATTATATCGAGGAATCAATTATCCAAAAAAGATAAATCTCTCACCCTTTCATCCTTAAGCACTCTTAACAACTCTTTCATATCCATTCTTCCTATAGCATCAAATTTTTACTATTTAGCTAACTCAATGAGTTAATTGGTGGAGGTAGTTGGTTGGATTGTAAAGCATGGTTGGAAAGTACAATACCATCCAAGAGATATTTCATCATTGTCCCTTCACTGAAGAAAACTCGACCTTAGAGTTTGGTATTAAACAAAACACCTCCCTCATCATTATTGATCAGTGATTCACTACTTTTAGAAATGCTCAAACCAAGACATGGCTAAACTAGTTCTAATATCAATTTGGTGTAAATGAATGAAAAGAAGTAAAATGATGAATGAGATGAGGAATTTCATTTCTATGAAAGGAAAATTGCAAGAGAAATGCAGATATTTAATCGCCCAAAATTATGAGGGCTTGCTCATTGAAAACAAAGAGGGAATCACTTATCCAATGGGGACAAAATCACACATTATATACTCATTCAAATAAGAGAAATCCCTTCCTCCTCATCCTTTAGCTCTCTAAAAACCTTTCCATATAAGGTTACTCTGGTAGCATCATACTTATTGGAGCGTAGGTGGTAAATAGTGGTTGTGAAATACAATACTATCCAATGGAATATGCAAGGCACTGAAAAGGAGCTCTCCCTTTCCATGATTCAATCTTACATCATAACCCAAGGTGCACAATCCGATATTAAGGAAAGGGTCGAAATATACAAGAACGATTCAGTTAAATTATTCCATATTCTGCCTAATATACCATTTTGCACTTCCAAAAACTCCATTCTAATACAAACGAGATACAGGCACAACAAAGTGCGAAATGTGGCAACCCTTCACCTTCGACAAAAACCAAAAATTGTAAATCTAGAAACCATTATACCTGTTACTTCCATTCTCAGTGAAACTCCACTAATTTGGAATCAGTACTTCTTTTGACTTCAAGTTAAGCTGCTGACTTGCTGACTTACTGACTTAAGGGTTCGAGGTCTTGTTCTGACGATGTAACGCTTTGGGACATCATCTATATGCAGTTTTACAACTTCCATTCAAAAAATAACTAAAAAAATTAATTCTGTGACAAGTATCGTCATCTACAGTTTTTTAACAACTTATTTCATGAAACCCTTAAAATCAAAGTAGAAGCAAGCATTTCCTACTTCTGGTTATAAGTACCTTGGCAAGGGTTAACTTGGGGTCTTCGCCTAAAAGTCTCCCGAACTTGAGCTCCATCTGCTCCCATCTATCGAGCTCCGGGTTTTCGCGGGCAGCGAGCACCAGGAAAGAACCAGGCCGGCGGCGAGGAAAGGGGTAGTTTTTGCTGGAATTAGTATGGATTCGCAGCGGCAAGCGGGCTCCTAACCCGCAGGATGTGAGTCCTTCCATGTCGGTGACCAATTTCAGTGTATTGTAATCGCCGGAGATGGTGCACAGGTCATATAGAGAGAGGAAGAGAGAGGCAGCGGGTTTATCAGATAGATGCCCAAGGAGGCAAAGTAAGATAGCAATCTGAATGCCTCGTCGACTTATATGCAACGGTAGTTTTTTTAATTTATTACATATCTGATATTTAAAAATTGAGAGATTTACCAATATCATTTTATACCATTCTATTTACATATTTAACATCTAAAACTTTAATATTACATATATATCACCTATAGTTTATGTTCATATCAAATATGAGTGATAGAAATGAAATATATGAGTGATAGGAAGAAAATATAAGTGATATATTTGATATTAAAATAATATAGAATAGTATGCATGTAATATTAAAATTTTAGATATTAAATATATAAATAGGATGATATAAAGTGATATGATTGTAAATTTTTCTTAAAATTTACATTTGTAATCTAACACTTTCTCTTCTCTCATAACATTTTCCATCCATTCACAAAGATCCATCATGCCTTTCTCATATTTTCTTTATTTTTGAGAGCTTCCTCAATTTCACAAGCTACCAATTCTATCAGTGTCTTTCCCTCAATGATATCTGATCATGACTTCGTATTCTCTTTGTTCATTATGAAGAGTGGGGGTGTCAAAACGGGTTAACGGGTTAGGTTCGGGTTCAACTTGGTTTGACCTGGGTCCAAAAAAGGTCAATCCAAAATTGATTCGATTTTGTAAACGGGTTAGATTTCCCAACCTAGACCCAACCCACACGGGTTGTCGGGTTGACCCGATCCAACCCGGGAACCCAATTTTGACATGTCGACGTTGACGAACGACAATTGTGGTACAGTGGCAGCAAGTGCGGGTCTGGCCATCTTGAACGACGTCGACAACATGGACGGGACGACTTCAACGAACGAAAGAACATGATGAGGGAAAGCTAACGAACATTGACACGTACGACGTCGACATACGACGAAACGAGACGACAACTCAAACAACGTTGATGACACGGCGGCAGCAGCAGGCCAACATGGACAGGACAACGTAGCGGTAGGCCAGCACGGATAGTACAACAATGTTCCTGGATCAACCTGGGTTGGTTTTAGGTTTTCGGGTTAACCCGAACTTGACACGGTTTTATAAACAGGTTGGAATCCCGAACCCATCCCATTTCTCAAATAGGTTGATCCTAACCCGAAATTTTTTTGTCGTGGCAAATATTGACACCCCTAATGAAGAGTTTTGAAAAGTACTTTTCTAAATTGCTTTAAGTAGGTAGTGTTATTTCACAATAGTTATTAACTTTTCTCTCTCTCTCTCTCTTTTTTTTGATGCGGGGAAGGCTCAACACATATGAGGTCTCCATTATAAGATAATCCATCCAAAATTTTAAGAAAATTGAAATATTTTTTGCACATATTGTTTGATGACTGTTTTACGTTATTTCAGTCAAAATTATGGAGAGTGTGCAATATAATATATCATATACATAATTTTTGCACATATTTTTTTATGATTGTTTTACACCTAATCTTATATAGTTCTATTAGGACTATTTATATGTGGATTTATTTTACAACAATATAGATCCATAAGTTCATTTATTATTCTATAAAAATAATAATTCTTTTTTATATATATATTTTTTTCATTAATCTAGTTTATGTCGCTCCTAAGTTTACATCTATTACCTTATGGATGTTGGGTTATAGCTCTTAAATTGAATAATTGAATTGTACTCAGTGTTATGTATGTTGTGCTATATCTCTTAAAATGAAGTTTATTATTTTATGAATGTTGTATTACATTTATCATTGTTATAATACTCATACTGTTGTATCAACATTGCAGTCTGATGTGTTATTATTCATTTTCGAGCTATGTTCAAATTTTATTTGAACCAATGTTGAATCATACCTTAGTCTATGTTCAAACCATTTTCAAATCTTGCTCGAACTTTTTTTAACAAGGTTTAAACATGATTTAAGCATGGTTCAAAGAAGAATCGAACATGATTTGAATGTGGATTCAAATCCTAGTAAAATAAGATTCAAATTTTCTTAAGACTACTATGGGTCCTCAAATATATTAAATAAGTACTCCGAGGTTAAAAAAATTGGAGTATTATATTTCGAAACAAACTTGCAAATATATTTTTCCCAAAAAAACCAAAGAACATGCATATTTTTCCATTTTTAATCAAATTTCCAGATGTATAAATTATAATATTATGTTAGAAACATGTGGATACATATCATAATGTTTGTGTTAATGCAACATAAACCCTTACATAAAATTTAATCATCTCTTAAATATAGTAATTTATTATCACTATTCATAAAATATTTGAATTGTTATCCTTTCTCCATTAAAAATAAAATATAGAAAATGTTACACAAATAATAATATTTATTAGAAAGGTTATCTAATAGTACATGTATTTAGTCTTTAGGAGTTTATTTTCCAAATTTTCTTAAGTTTAATTACCATCCTTTTTTAATGAATCTATATATATATATATATATCATTAACAAGAACCCTCAAAACCTTAAATAGCTAAATAATCTATTAATTTTATTTCTTCTTTATTATTCTTCTTACTCCAAAGATTAATGTAACAAAGGATTAGCTTATATGTAGAATCCTTTAAGAGCCCATAGGGTCCCACAACTAAGGATCCTAGTACAAGGAAGTGGGACCCCTTCAATAAGATCCTACAAGAAGTTGATTTGATCTCCATAATATTTTTCATCAATTTAGGAATATAAGAAAACATTGGCAAGACAACAAAATTTTAATAAAAACCCTATAAAATTAATATTAAAGGTGAGTACTATTGGGTAATCTTCGAATCAAGAAGTTCAAATCGACTAGGGAGTACTCAACATAAGATCTTGAACTTTTTGGGTGAATATTTTTTATTAAATTAAATTAATTTTACATAAATATTAGTTTGATTAAAATCAATTCAAATCAATAAATCTTGGTGATAACATTTTGAGAAGTTTTATTTTTGTTAAAATTGACAAAGTTGAAGCGGTCACGACATTGAAGTTGTAAATTCATAAGTTGTGCTTAATTTATGACCTCTTGGGCTAAGCCAAATACAACTTAAAAATATAGGACAAAATTGTCTAATCGACTCTACTTATAACCTATTCAATTAGGTCAAGTTCAACCTAAATGATGTAATCTTAAATTTGTATCATAATATGTTCAACATTTTAATGTTTATGCGCAATGCCTCATGGTCGAGGCCCTTGGCTTTCATTGTAGAGATGGAAATTCTGCACAAGCTGCCACCAATAATACTGTCAATGCCAACGATGGCAACTGATATTGACACCAACATCAATGTTCGTCATCGCAAATAACTTTGATGCCCTTCATTGTCATTAATATTGATGATCATTATCATCACAAAGGCCTACACTAGATGTTGTAGCAAGATTGATGTTTGTTGTTGCCAGCAATGATGCCTTCAACACCAACATTGATGCATGATGTTGCAATCCATGGTTAAGTCAGTTGGGACTCCTAAGGATCCCAAGGTTTCAATGAAAATATCATTAAAACCCTATATAATATCTACTACATGACAAATAAGTTAATATGATATTGAAATCAGGGCATTGCGCAAGGAACAAGCAATCAGAAGGGCTTAAGTGAACACGCCGATCTAAGGTTGACTAGGACATTAGGTGAGTCTAATGTGCTATCACTCTAAGGTTTCATTTGAAACAGCTTTCTTACTATTTTAGAAATCAATAAAAAAGCTGTCCCAAACAAAGGTCTTTACCATTTTCATGCTCGTTGCACTTGTGAGAATGTTGAAGCTAAAGTTTTCTGATAAAGGAAAACCTGCATCTCACTTGCGATGAACCAAACAAAGATACGAGAGGGAGAGAAAAAAAATCGAAGCTTTAGAGATCTCTTTGAACAATTGGACTTGTGTTGAACCCAATAGAATCCCTTCGTGCTAAGAAAAACAAGTCAAACAAAGTTAAGGAAAAATAATTTGAAAAAAAAAAAAAAACAGAGAAATCTCTATTCAAAGTTCCAGAATTTCATATCCTCTAGCCTGACCTTTGATCTCTTATGAATCGCAAAATTATGATAAATGTTATGAAGTTGGCAACTTAGCACAATTACATAGAAAAAAAATAAGGTGAACTAGCTTTCAGTGAATTGTGTCATAGCAAAAGCCTTGCATGGCCTCTATGTATGAGCACTTGGAAGTCAAATTCACTTAAACCTTTTTAAAAAATCTACAATAATATAAAATTAATGAACATATTAATTAAGTAGAGATTAGTTAAATTGATTAGAAATTGCAAGCATAACTAGCAATAGATTAATTAAGCTAACAAATCTGAGTGAAGTTAAGATTAACTAATGATTAGCATATAAGCTCATCTAATAAGTTAAGTCAATTATGGATTACTTAGACGAATAGTCCTAAATGAATGATTGAGATGATGAATGAATATAATAATCATTAGATAATATACAATCATTGCCATTCATCCATTGTTTAGAAGAATACTTAGCCTAATTAGGTAGGTTTTAATTAATAATTGAGATATACAATTAGCATTGCTAACTTTGCTACTTGGTCATTAAAAATGTCAGGGCAATAAATTAGTCATACAATGATTAATGATAGTCATGCTAATTAAGTTCCAATACATCTTTAGAAGAACAAATAAAGTCCAATTAAGTATGTAACAACTAATCATCAAGATATTAAATAATCTTAATTAATTAGGCATTAATCAATCATTATTATTGTTAAGATATATGAAACTTTAAGTTTAATCTTTCATAAAATAATTGAAAGATGCATTGATATGGAAATATCAAATAATAGGAGCTCACTTAAGAATTTAAATTTTTGAATTGAAAATCAATTTGAACATGAGCATATCTAGCTAAACTTCAATCCCTATTGGTTTAATCTTCCTTACAAACATTTCAATTTAACCTGAACTCAATGAAATTCAGAGCAACATGAACAAACATAAAGACTACAATCTCAAGAACAAGTTCATGTAAAATAAAAGGACACAATAGGAACTCAATCAATTAAAATTCCTTTTTAGTATTCAACTCTAGCTATTGTATCACATGTATTACCAAACAAAAAGATCCTACATGAAGCTGAGAATAAGGAAAAAATACTGAAAGGAAAGACCTTCGAACTTGCATTGATATTTGTGGCCATATAATTATTGGTATCATCCTCAAGCCTCCCATACCACACCACATAGTAGCCATCACAAATAGGTTCAACACTTGTCTGAGAAAAATATATTGAACCTTTTATGTAAAATAAAAATCAGAGTAAAAAAAAATAAAATAGAAAGGCCAAAATACACTTTACCCAGCGCCATTTTTCATTAGAAATCTTCAAAAATGCATAATTATTCTCGTTAAAAATGCCTTTTTAGGACTTCAAATTTCTCCTCTTCAGAACTTTTTTGCTTCATTGACAAAAAACATTGTAATATCCAACCATTTCGGAACACAAAATCAATGGAGAAAGGTAATGTTGTTATTGTGAAATAGATAAGGGTTACCTAAATAGCAGAAGCATCAATAACACTACTACAACCAGGAGTCTTCCAAATCCTTCTATCATTAATCCTCTCTCTGGTTCTCTGGGCCTCACTCCACTGATTTGAAGCAGCATACATATTTGACATAATTGAATAAACTCCACTTCCATTTTCATCAACGTCCTGAATCATTTCCATCACTTTCTCTGCAAATGTTGTGTCATTTCTAGCCCGACAGCCTCCAAGCAAAGCTCCCCACACCAAAATGTCAGGCCTGTAAGGCATCTCCTTCACCACTTGATAAGCTTCTTCAAGTCGGTTAGCACGACAAAGCAAATCTATCAAACAGCCATAATGCTCTATCCTTGGCTTGATCATAAACTCCCTTTCCATGGATTCAAAGATTTGTCGGCCCTGCTCAACCAAACCTCCATGACTACAAGCAAAGAGCACACTCATTAATGTAAAGTCATTGAGCTGGAGTTTCTCCTTCCTCATTGAAGCAAAAAGCTGGAATGCATCATTTCCCCTCCCATGAATCGCGAGGGCTTTGATCATCACATTCCAGCAGAACACATCCTTCTTTGCTGTTTTGATGAAGATTCTAAATGCAGAGTCAATATCCCCACACTTGGCATACATTTCCATAAGTGCAGTCCCAACTATAGCTCCAAAGCAAAGCCAATTTCCTATTAGATGCCAATGAATCCATTTTCCAGTTTTCAAATCTCCAAGATGAGCACAAGCTGTCAAAGCTGAGACGAAGGTGAACCCATCTGGAAGAATACCAAATGACTGCATCTGAAGAAAGAGATCCAATGCCTGCTTAAACCTCCCACGCCGTGTGTAAGCTGACAGCATACAATTCCAAGACACTACATTTCTTTCTGGAATTTCATCAAACAATCTTCTTGCTCCTATTAGATCTCCTGTATCAGCTATAGCTCCTACCATTACTGTGCAAGAAAAAACATTCCTTTCTGGCATCTCCTGAAACAAATTCTTTGCCTTATCCACCTGTTTCACTCTCACATAGCCTGAAAGCATCGTGTTCCAAGACACCACGTCTCTCTCGGGCATTTCATCAAACAGTTTCCTTGCAGATAGAATATCTCCAATTCCTACATATAAAGACATCATCTTATTCCACAAACCAATAGCTTTCATGGAAAACCCATCAAACATCTTCCTTGCATCAACAAGACTGCTGCTTGCTGCATAGAGGTTGAAAAGCGAGATGGCAACTAAGGGAATCAAATCAAACCCAGCCTTCAGAGCCCGGCAATGAGCCTTCTTCCCTATCTCACACTCTTCAAGAGCACCACAAGAAGCAAAGATGTCTGAGTAAGTGAACTCGTTCGGCGTCAGGCCTCGTTGAAGCATTTCATGGAACAAGTTGAGAGCTTTCTTATGCTGGCCGGATTGAAAGCAGCCCCGGATTAACGCGTTCCATTGAAGAATATGAGGAGGATTACTCGAAAAGAAAATGAGCTCAGCATGCTCGGTCTTTCCAAGCTCGGCTGCGCGGCGGATGCAGAGGGAAGGGAGCGCAGGGTGTTGAGCGAGGGAGGAGGAGATGAGAAAGCCATGAACTTGTTTGAGCTGTTCGAAGGTGCAGTGACGGAGTAGATTAGGGATGCGCTGCTCGATGGGTAGGGAAGCAAAGGACATCCAAGCTCCTCCAGTCGCCTTAGGATGTATTGTTGGCAATGGGAGTTCGCGGCTTCGGCCGATGAGGCGAGGCCGACCGGTTCGAGTCGGAATCCAGAGGCATTGAGTTGGATCAGCGAACCATGTGTTGAAGTTCAGTTTTACAATTTTTTAAAGTAAAAATAGAGATTTTACACTGCTCATTTTGATCTATTGGTTGAAAACTTTTGTTATAAATTAAGAAATTTTGAGTCGAAGTTTGTATATGTGAATAGTAGTGGAAGCTTCTGAATATGTCAACCAATCAATGCAGCTTGAAGCTTGACTTGAGGATTCTTACTAACAATTATGAATTACTTCATGCAAGAAAATCTAACATATCGGAGGCAAAACATTGTGTTTTGATTCTGATTTTGGCTAATAAACTGGCTTTATGTCATAACTTGAATTTATAAAATGATCTCATATGAAAAAAAAATCTGAGATTCAGAGCGTTGCGGCCCTAGAGTGTGCAACCCCTAGCGTTGAGCTCTTTGAAATTTTGAAAAATAATGGAGCTGCGGTGCTATGCTTGAGAGAGTAGCGGATTTGAGGGAGCAGTGCAGCGTCGGGACACTAGACAATGACGATACAGCGCCAGAGTCTCTTTTCTACAGTGTTTTTAGGATCTACATGCATCGCTGCTATGTCAAGTCTGGAGTGTTGCGGCACTGGGCATTAAATTATATTTTTAATAGAAAATTTTTCCATTGAGATCCTTCCCCCTCTCTTCACTAGCTTGGTGGGGAAGGAAAGGAGGAGAAAAAGAAGAAAGAGAAAGAAGGCGAAGAGAGGAAAGAGAAAGCAAAAAATTTCTTCATGGTTTCATTTCGTTACTTTTAAGAGATTTCTTTTGACTTATATACAACCTATGTTTTCAAATATTTTGATTTTAAATTTATTTCTTTACCTAAATTGACAGTTATTGCCATTTCTCCTGGATTAGTGAACTTCCACCGCATAAATTTTGATATATTGTAATATTGATTATTCTAGTCATTTTGACTATATGGTTTTGTATTTTCATAGATTAAAATTGTATTTATTGCATTTCTTATGTTTTGAGCAAGAATAAATATATAGTTATTTTCGTGATACGAGCATATCATAATGAATGAACATGTATTGTGGATGAATAATTATTATTTGTTATTAATCATATATATTCCTAAATTATGTGTGTAAATAAGGAAGACTGGTTATTAAGAGAGGTTGGCTAGAGATTGATTATACCTTATACAAGAAGGTGGGCTGACGAAATTTTCTTAAAATATGGCTTATAGTGATATCATCAATCAAGATCAAGATTAAGAGTTATAAGAATTTAAGTTACCAACGGGTAAAAGTTGTGATGCCCCAAGATCTAACTTGGACAGAATGTCAATCAATTCCCAAACAATTTACCAGAGTTATCTAAATCTAAAATCGTCCTGGACGATCCTGAGAGGAAAATTCAAATCAGAGAGGAACAGTAAGGGAACGAGGTCTCTCAAAAGTACACTCTTCAAGGAAGTCGCATGAATATTAATTAAGATTAAGATATTAAAATGAATTGATACATGTACAATTATTGAAAAAACACCACAAAAGCCATAGCTTCTTGCATATATGCATTGATTGATACGATTTTGATGTTATGATTTAGATGTATTTAAGATTAACATATTCATGTGATTCAAACTTCTAATACGATACTATTGATGAAGTCCAACTGCATAAGTAGATTTTATACGATATGTTGTTTCACTGATTGGTGTGATTTTCTTACTATTTTGATAATACAAAATATAGTTTTAGTTCACAAATGATTTTAAGACTCTCAGGTTTACTGTTTTGGTATTCGCACGAGTACTTTTTATGCTTTATGATCTACAGTTTTGTATTGATTCATGATTATATTGAATGGTCCTGCTATAATTTCGATGACTACATGTTGTTTCCTTTTCGTGTTTTGAATATAGTTGTAGGTTTTGATTAACTACTAAGTGTTACAGCTCATTGTGTGGGTTTAATTAATTTTTAGGCTGAGGTAAGGATCCAATATTATGATGTTGATCAGAGTATGAATTTTTTTATTATGTATTTTCTTTTATTCTTTTGTAATGAGGAGTTGAAAAATATATAAACGTATTGAAGGATTTTCTTACTATTATAAATTGAATTTTGAAAGGATGAATATAAAAATATATTTTGATGAAATTAATTTATAATGACTTTTGTTGTAATTATTAAAACTAATGAATAATTAATAGCTTTGGTAATAAATATGTAGATTGAAAAGATACAATTCTTTCAATTTAAATCTTGGAGTGTTACACTTTATGCCTTAATCAAATTTAATGTATTGCTCCTTGGTCATAATAAATTTTTACAATCGACTAAACTTCTAACCAGAATCATAAATATTAATTTAGCGACTTACATCCTAATATTGAGATGTCGGCATATATCAAAAAGAAATTAAAAATATAGTTAACATCACATAAAAATAATTAAATTTTAATTTAATTTAAAAAAAAACACAAGGAATATCACAATTACATAAAAGAAGTTGCTAATCCAATCTAGCAATATCATCATGAAGAAGAAATTAGGATTTTTTTTTTCTTCATCTTATCTATGGGCCACAAGAGATCTAATGGGTTTTTAACCATCAATTGATATTTATATTTTAATTATTGGATTTGAATTTATCCATTTTGATATCAATACCTTACTAAGAATGAATGAAAAATAAATAAAATATGAGATATTAAAGTTTTAAATGAGATGCTCTAAGATTTTACTAAATTATTAGTACAATACTGATGTGACTTATCAAATATGTTAGACTTATCATATGGCCCCCTATTTTTAAATTATAAGGACAAATTCAGTAAATTGATTTAATTATGAGTTCAAATGAAGTTTTTAGGTGCTTCAATTTGATTATGGCGAAAACCTTTTTCACTTGGACATGTTTTTGTGTAGCGTTGATGACTAGGAGTGTCAATTCAAGTCGGAGGATTGGGTTCAGGTCTAACCAAAGTTGACCCAACCCGATATGCTCGCTTAACCCAACTTATATATTAAAAAAGTTTAATCAAAATCTGAAGTAACCCAAACTCACCTAATTTGAACTTAACCCATTAATTTAATACTTTAATTATATGGACCATATAAAATTTTTGGATCAACACAACATATTTAGCCTAAATATAGCATGTTTAACACAAATACGACTTGTTTAACACAAATCCAACCCGTTTTAACCAAACATGAATATTACTTGGGTCAATTAAGGGTTTTCAAATCCGGCCCAAAATTTAGTTAGGTAAGGATTTCTAATTCAAACATGACCCGAAGTTTAATTAGATCAATCTGAACATGAATTTTTCAAGTCAGATTCATGCCTAATTATCAGATCAGTTCATTTAGTAACACCTTTATTGAAGACTTCTACTCGATGGGAGTTCATTATATCAACCTCAATACTATAAGATTTTTAAAGAAATCCCCAAAAAAAATAAAGAAAACATTGATAAAAGATCTAACTAATCTCCTTGCCCCTAATAGAAATACAAACCTACAAGAAATCTAATCACACTAATAAGAATTAGACTTAAGATAATCCCAATAGAAAAACTTTCATTATATTGATTTATTTTATCTTACTTCTTGAGGAATCTCAAAGAGGAATGGGCAACAAAAGTAAGAAGGAATAATGGAAAATCCATAAAAAATATGAACTAAAAGAAATATTTCTGCACTGTTGAAGAAGACCAAAGGCTAAATGATTGCTTGCATGCCGACCTTAATCATTCAATGAATCTTATGCACTGCTAAAGAAGCATCATTTATAAGCTTTAAACTTTGCTTCAGTGCCTACGAAATGGTTTTGATTACTGTACCTTATCTCAGACTCTCAGTTATTTAATGTCTCAATCAGTTATATTCTTATGGTTTTCTAATGATTAGTTCTACTGATAGAAACCAGTCACCAAGTGAGAAGTATTTATATAATGCCCAGCAGTTGTTCAGCAAAATGTTTTTTATATATTCATCTGAAACCTGTGGCCAGTACTGCAGAGATGAAATACTGCTCATACTTCAAAAGGTCTTCATTCAGCTCTGTGTTCATCAACAGATTTTTAAATTATGTTTGGATATATTTAGGGGTGTCAAAAGTTGACACGACCTGAAACCCGACCTAGTCCCGACCCGAAAAATTCGGGTTCGGGTCAACCAGTTTGTGAAATGGGTCGAGTCCGGGTTTGAATTTTTGACTAGTTTGAAAAACGGGTGTCGATTTCGGGTTGACCCAAAAACCCGAAGTCAACTCAGATTGACCCGTTTGGTTATCCCGCGCGTCAGGACTCGGGCGTCCTCGTCAGGGATTGTCCGCATCAGGTAGCATCCTCATCAAGAATCGACGCCTCGCCGTCGCCGGTGCAGCCCGCACAGCCGCACTCGCTGCCGCTGTCGATGCCTCCATTCCGACAGCCTCAAGGTTCAAACTCAGCGAACCCGCTTCGCTCCACTCCGCTTCGCAACTGTTCGCGGGTCGGGTCGGGTCAACCTGATAACCCGCATGGCTCGGATCCAGTTTGACAAACTTGACCCGTTTGCAAAACATGGTCGGGTTAGAGTCAACTCGTTTAAGACTGGATCAAGTTGGGTTCAATCCAAACCCGACCCGTTGACCCGAATTGACACCCCTAAATATAGGGCTCAAACTCAATTTAGTGATAAACCAAACACAAACAGAACTTGATACTTATATAACAAAAAATAATGAATGAACTAAGTGCTAAATCAAAATATGTTCAACTGTTTGAACTCTTTGATCTCAATTAGATCATCATTGGTCACACCCCGAATTCGAAAGGCTGATACATTCCAGCAACACGGGATATGAGAGATTTGGCTTCGGCTGGTTCGACTTGATCGGATAACAAGAATCCGGTTTCTAGCACCATTGTTAAGAGCAAAAATGTAAAAGAAATTACAATAAAATAAGCATGTTGTCCTTCTATATTCAACCATTAAAAACAAACTGAGATATGCATTTTTGTTTCTTCCTTCCATGAGCTACAGGATAAAAAAATGATCAGCTTGTACTGAGATTAGCTGTACAGAAACATTTCTTTTGCAGTGAACAAATGAAGGTTATCTTTGACATTCGGACACACTTAAATTAAGACTTATAAATCCATATAACTAACATTTTCTTTAAATAAAGCAGTAGGTACATGACCAGAATATGAATGGTTCCAAAGTCTTGATTATTTTATTTTCTTTTTAAAAGAATTCCTCTAATGCTGTAAGGAAAAACAACTTATTCTTCTATAGTTCGGTGAATTCATCAAATGAAACATAAGAGATGTCATTTGATTACTGGTCAGTAGTCCAAGCACTCTCATTATGGTTAGGTGAGTTAAATAATTATATCTGCAACTTTAATATTCTTAAATCAGAATAGTTATTTAATTTTTCATCAACAGACATAAGCCATGTCTTTAAAATCTGAACATGTTTGTTCAGCAATTTCAGAACTCAGAGAAAGTTTTCAGAAAACAGAAAGAGAAGAATGGGTTGCAGAGGCTCTGAGAAGGCAAAGATGAAGTGTAAGAAAGGATTGTGGTCTCCTGAAGAAGACCAGAGGCTTAAGGATTACATTCTCAATCATGGCTATGGATGTTGGAGTGAAGTTCCTGTTAAAGCTGGTGAGTTTTTGGTTTCGTTTGAGACAGCTTTCTTACTGCTTCTTAAAATAATTTTTTAGTTAATCAGAGCCTTTGTATGTTCTGAAATGAAGTTTTGGTTGGCAGGTTTATAGTAATGCCATAGATATGCATAATCTGATTGGCATTTTTCATCACTTGAATCATAGACTAGACCATTGGTTAGAACATTTTATAGGTTTGATTGATTTAATCTATATTTTTTCTTTTTCATATTGATCATTTGGCTTTTTTTTTTTAATTTATTATTTTTCAACCTTTCTCTATCTACCTCTAAAATAGTGGTGGGACCCATTAACCACCAAATTATTCTCACATCCTAACCCAATCATCAAAAATATCTTATCCATTTGTTTAAAAAGATGGTGTGAAAAGTAATAAACTCAATCACTAATGAGAGGAGAGAATGAAAAGAAAGATGGATTATCTTGAAATTATAAAATGAGTAGATAAAAGAAATTGAGATTTAGAAAAATAAAATAAACCCTAAATAACTTGTAAATAAATTATAAAAAAAAGTTTTTTGAAAATAAAACTAACATTAAATTCAGCATAGAATTTATAAAATGAGTCATAAATAATTTGGATAAGATTAATTACGATGAGCAGATGTACTTAGGCTGCTAATCAATCCTAATATTATTACTAATTATTTAATGCAGAATATAAACAAAACAAACATGTAAGTAATTTTTGAAATTTTTTCCTTTTTATTTGTGTGTGTAGGGCTGGAAAGAAATGGGAAGAGCTGCAGGCTAAGGTGGATCAATTACCTCAGGCCTGGAATAAAGCGGGGAAAGTTTTCACAGGAAGAAGAAGACTTGGCTATGAAGCTTCACGCTGTGCTGGGAAACAAGTGAGCCCCTAAACAAAATATATCTATTAATTAATCATGTTAAAATATGCAGCTCTTTGGTCTGTTGATTAAGAGCTTTGACTACCAACCAGGAAGTCTTAGATTCGAGTCTTGCTTATGTGTTGTATGTGTCAGCTCAGAAACTGCTTTAGAAAGCAGTAAGAAAGCTGCTTTGGACATCACACATTTGTACAAGAGCTTTTTAGCACAAGAACATTTTAATTGGCCTATGGCTTTGTTTGGGATAGCTTTTGCACTCTTTTAAAGCATCTTTATAGTACAAAAATTTCTAAAAATTCATGTACTAAAAAGCTGCTTTAGAAAGCAGTAAGAAAGTTGTCCCAAATGAAGCCTAAATATCCCCCAAAATAAACTTTTTTCAGAAAGCTATGTCATAGTTGGGAATTAATTCAATCAATGAGAGGAGACAAATGAAAGAAGATGAAATGTGCAAACATATCAAGAATTTCAATGCAAATTTATCCAGTTAATGACTGCTTAATGCTTCTGCTTCTATAATTTCTATTATCATGATGATAGTGAAGTCCTGCAAGAGAAAATGTTACAGCTTCATTCCTTTCTGTATTTTTTATCTCTCTTATGTATTACTAATCACAACACCCTTTTATAAAGAAACATGATAGGATAGCTGAAATGACATGAAATTTCCAAAATACCCTCAATGAGATAACTAGCAAAAATTATATATTTTTCGAGGGCTACCCTTACTATCTGTGTAAAATTATTCTTGGTAAGGTATTAATTAGGCTTCACAACTTAACAAATGAAAAAAATGGCATCAAGATGTCCAAATGCGATTTGGGTTAAAACAGACTTAATAGCCTTCGAATTTACACTAAGATTAGTGCTCACATGCAAATCATATGTAGCACTCATCTCAATGTAAATTCAAAGACTGTTAAGCTCATCCTAACACAAAACATGTTCAAACATACTGACATACAAAATTTTTTTCTTAACAAATATAGTTTATGAATCAATGATGTTCTAGTTTGATCAATGATGTATCGATTGTTAAACTTATTTTACATCAAAAAAAAATATTTAGCTTTTATATGTCGGCCGATCATTAGTATTTTTAAAATAACATTTTTTCATAAATATTTGACATACTTCCAAACATCTTGAAACATGTCCCTTGAAAATATTATAACAAGGAAGTAATTTTTTCAGGTGGTCTCAAATAGCAATGCATCTACCGGGAAGAACTGATAATGAAGTCAAGAACTATTGGAACACTTATCTTAAGAAAAAAGTGAAAAAATCAGAAGAATCAGCTTCTGCTAAACTTTCAGATCACAATCCCTCAACAGACTCATCAGCTGAAAATTACAAGAACAAACAAGAAAATTTCAATAAAATTTTGCTTTTTGACACGATCGAGCCAGCGGAATCATCATCATATAGTCATGGCTTCTCTCAACAGAAATCATGGCCAAAGGTTATGTTTGCAGACTGGATATTTGGAGAGAATTCAGATGGTCTACTGAGCTTAGAAAGCTCAGATGGAGGGAAAGGACTGGCTTGGGATTCCTGTAGCTTTGACAGCAGAGAAACACTTAGCAATGGCGATTTAAGAGCTATGAGCAATCAAGAATTTGCTGAAGGTGGAAGCTATGTTTCATGTTTTGAGCCTGTTGATTTGATAGGAAGTGATTCTTTTGATCTTTTGTCATTTGGGGGTAATTTTGGAGGTTTTGAAATGAATCAGGATTTGATGTTTTGATCAGTGATTGTCATTATAAGTTTCTCACTGTTATTGCTTTGGATTGTATATGACTAAATGATATTATATGAAATGGCATGGCATTTATTATTGCAATTGTAGAGGAAAAAATTCTAGATGATAAAATCATTACAAAATTTGGTTGAATATTCTCTTTAAATATTTGAGTGTATGTTTTTTGAGATTATGAAATATTTTGGAGATTTTGTATTAATTCAAGTATCTTGAAGATATTATTTATTAATTTTGAAATATCTTTTGGGATTTTTATCAACTTTAAGAGATCGATATTCTAATATCTCATCAGACCTTGCAATAAATTTTATATCTCAAATTCAATTTCTTGTTGCCACTATAAATAGAGCATTTGCTCATTATAAACCTAATGGTTACATTTATAAACATTATTATTTAAAACAATTAGTGTTTGCCAAATGAGAAATGAATAATGCTTAATCATCTAAATTTGGAATGCTCAAGTCTACCACAATGGTATGTATTTAATTCCATGCAACAATAAGTTTGTCTTTTGACCATTGTTTTCTTATTATGGGCCTCATACAATAGGTTGGGGATGATGATGATTAGATTGGGGACGACAAGGTCGAGTTGACGACGGTCACTACAGGAAAATCACTAATTTCCGGCGGAATTTTTCGGCGGCTTTCCGACGGTCACGTTTGGCCACATCATGGGCTAAAAATGGCAACTTTTTTGGATCTAAAAGTTTTCCGTGAGAAATCTGCATGGATGAACTATTCAGTCAGTTGATATTTGTTTGATTTGTTGTTGTCTGGTTGTCTGAAAAAGAAAGTGTAAAAGGAATATTTTAGATTTATTTGGATGATTGTAAAAGTAATGCATGAGGTTTTTTTTTTTTTTAATTTGAAGTAGATTTCTAGTACAACAATTAAAAATTTTATACTACAAAACTGTTTTGAGAAGCAGTAACCCAAACGAAGCTTAAGTCTATTACTCCCTACATTTCATTCTCATATAAATTGATAAAAGTATTATCACAGACAATTCTCAAACTTCCATCACTGGCCTTAATCATGCTCTCCTTTTGCCATGAAGGTTATTGGAACTCTTCATTACTCATTGAGTACTAAGGTTATGAAAACAGACAAAGTATGCTTTCGATCTTTTATTCCATCTTGATCTTGAAGGTATCAAATTTATCTCTGTTGTGTCCTGGAAAATTCACGGAGGTAGAGAAATATAAAGATTAATGCCTTAGCTTTGTACGAAGATCCAGAAGACAAGTAGATCAAACAGATGAGGGTGTAGCGTTCATAAGAGACACCAGACTTTTTATGTGGAAACCCCTAAAAAGGGGAAAAAACCACAGGGCTTGGCCCAGTTTGAATGAATCCACTAGTGCTTGTAATTGATTACAAATGAAGCCCATCCTTAGGAGGAAGGCCTTGGCTCAAAGTAACAAATATACATCATATAAAATGCATTGCATGGTGGAAGTTGGAAGAATCAATGTTGATATGTTTGTTTGGGGCGGCAAACCATAGTCGATGAGCGATGTAGATCGGAAGAATCATATTCGGCGGGTGACGGAGGTCGGAAGGATCGTAGTATGTGAGCGACATAGGTCAGAAGGACCGTTGTATTGCAACGGAGGTCTGGAGGACCGTAGTCACCGGGTGATGGAGATCGGAAGGACCGTTGTCGGCAGACAACAGAGGTCAGAAGGATCGTAGTCGGTGGGCGACGAAGGTCGGGAGGATCGTAGACTGCGGGCGACGAAGGTCGGGAGGATTGTAGTCGGCGAAGAATGTAGTCAGCAGACGACGGAGGTCCGAAGGACCATAGTCTGCAAACTACGGAGATCGGAAGGACGGTAGTTGGATGCAGTGGTTGGGAGGACTGTAGTTGGCGGACTAGCGGAAGTCCTGCGGTGTTCGGCAAATTGGTGGAATTCCGATGGCGGACGACAAACTATGAAATTCTGACGATGGTCGGCGGGCAAGCGGATGTACGGCGGCAGTCGATGAACTGGTAGAAGTCCGGCAGCGGTCGGAGGACGGGTGGAAGTCCGGTGGCGATCGAGGAACTGGCAGAAGTCCGTCGGTGGTTAGCGAATTGGTGGAAGTCCGGCGTCGGTAGACGGACTGGTAGAAGTCTGTCGGTGGGCAACGATTGAGCTGAAGTCCTGCTGCGATCGGTGAACTGGTGGAAGTTCGACGGCGGTCGACGAACTGGCAGAAGTCCGTCGGTGGGTCGAGAACGGGTGGAAGTCCGACGGCGGTCGGGAAGAACTCCAGAGGTGGTCGACAGGAATTTCGGTGGTGGTCGGCAGGAACCCCGGCGGTGGTCGGCAGGAACTCCGGTGGTGGCCGGCAGGAATCCCAGCGGTGGTCGGCAGAAAGTACTCCGGCGGTGGTCCATGGCAAGAGAGCTCCCAAATTCCTCCCTTTTTTCTCTTCTTCTCCCTCTTCCTCCTTCCCTTCATGTGAAGAATGAGGGCCTATTTATAGTTTTTTGAGAATGACATGGCTTGTAAATATGTGGAGGATCAAGGGCAAAATGGGAGTGTTTGAATGGACGGCCGATATTGATCTCCTTGATCATGGACTGTTTATTGTTCAATTGGATGCCTTAACGATTTCAGAATTAAATGATCTTGGGCTCGTTGGATTCCGTCGAGCCACTAGATTTGACTATAAGCATGACACATTTGAAAACTGTTTGATAATCCAAATTGTGGTTTGAACCCTTCAACAGCGCTTCATCCCCTTGATTTGGACCCATTTGGGCTCGGATTGAGTCGAATTTAGTGTCGATGGGTTTGTCTTTCTGAGACGTTCAGTTCGACTATAAGTTTGCTAAAATTGGAGTTCAGATGATCTCTAAATTAATTTCCGAAGTTTCCAACTTGATTATGCCTCAAGATTCGTACCCGATCAAGATAATTTTTGGTGACATATCAATCTCCATGCAATCTTATGATGGCTCCAAATTCCAAGATAATAATTGACTCTACATTGAAGATCTAGTGTTGAGGCATATCTAGCATCAGACTCCAGTTGTCAAGTAAAATTACAACTTCATTGGGGGAACCAATAGCTAATCACAAGATACAGTTCACTTTCTTCTTTGAAGGCCTAAATCTGATATTTCAGTTTCTGTAGTTATTATGATCATGAGAACATCTCTTCATCTCTTTACATAGTAATTTTTACATATTGAAATGATTGATTCTAAAAAAGAAGAGAAATATCAAATAACTTCTCAGTAATAGTATATCTTAGTTTAATAGAAAAGGAATTCAATTACACTTTTTTTGAAGCTTTTTTCCATGGAAATGTAACAAAGCTGCAACAAAATTTGGTTTCTGAAAACAAAAACAAGTAAATAACTGAAAAGAACAAATAAAATGAAATGAATCCTCAGAGAGGAAGATTACTAGGTGAGCTTTGCACTCCTCTCTATCATTCTGTATCAATCTCGTAATGCGAAAAACAGATTGAAAATACAGATTGAGCTATGCTCACCAAATAATCTCTCATTAACTCAGCTTTCAAAGCAGCCGAGAACTTTCTTTGGGACAATTCCAGCAGTTTTGAACCTTGCTGCAGTCTCCTCTGCCTTGAGTATGCCCTCTCCTTTCTTAGCCTCAATAATGGCTCTCTTCTCTTCTGCTGCCTTGTGAATGGAAGCTATTTCGTTCATCATTTTCTCTGTGCGCTGTGCCTTCTTCTTCTCATAAGCTTCCTGAGAAGTTAGTGAACATCAAGCTGTAATTTTCAGGAAGAATGTTTGCCATTTTCAGTATGCAAAACCTTTTGTGTGAGGTTTCTGTAATGTTAGGCCATATTTGATAACTTTTTGTATAAATATGTTTTTCTTCATAGTGTTAGAAATAATTTTCATCAATATTAAATCATGAGAAGTAAATAAAAAGAGGTAAGAAGAGAGAAACCTAGTTTCTCAAATTTTCTGATATTTGAACAAAGTTCATGAAGGAGATTATCAAAATTTTAGAATCGACAAAGCTCAAGTTTGTCTGTTGGTTGGAAGTTTTGACTATTAACTAAAAAGTTTTGGATTCAAGTCGCTTATGAAAATTGCTTACCTCCATCTTCTTAATCTCAGCTTCAATGGATGCCCTCTTAGAATTTTCCCATGTTGTAATGGATGACATCTTCTTTTGAGCCCTGTTCAAGCAAAGAAAAATCTTGTTTAAATTAAATGTTTTGTTAATAATCACTCATGTAATGCTTGCTATTGATGTGGCTATCTCTCATTAGATTTGAGGGATTATGACTGATAAATTAAGGTTTCATTTGGGACATCTTTATTACTATTTTATAAAATTAATGTAGAGAAAGTAACTTTCTAAAGTTGTTGTAGAAAGCAATTTTCTTATGTAAAATTTTTTGAAAGCAACAAAAAAATAGTGTCCAAATAAAATTTGTGTGGTTTTGTTTTGAACAGTAAGAAAGCAGTTATAAAATAAGCCTAAGATTTTGTTTGAGACAGTTTTTTTGTTGATTTTAAAATCAATTTTTAGTAAAAACAATTCTTGAACAAAAACTTTTGTCCTAGAAAGTAGTTTTAGAAAGAGGTAAGAAATGTGTCTCAAAAGATGCCTAAGTTTGGAGAAATTATTATGTGCGTACACCGGGCGAAACTTTACATCCGCATGCCGCGGTGCCGAGCAGTACCGAGCGTCGATACCGGTACCGAGCAAAATCGAGCCGCGGTACAGTAAAAGAGTGACGCGGTGCATTTTTATTGGTCTTTGGACGTCGTTCGGTGTCCACAAAGAATAATTTTTTCCAAGTTTGAGCTATATTTCACATCTCCATAATCTGTTTATCTTTTTAAGCAACATAGAATCATAAAGAAAAAAAAAATTGGAGAAAGAAAAATTAAGAAAATAGGAGAGGTAATGAGAGAAGCTAACTTGTTTTTAAGTTTGGCTTTTTGACTGTCTTCCCATGCCTCTATGAAAGCTGTCTTCTTCTCTCTTAGCAGACGGGCAAGTTCTAATTCTACAAATAAAAAAAAAAAAACAAATTAAAATATATTTACTAGATTGAAGATAAAAATATTTCTGAAAAATAAATTTTTCTCAAAAATATGCAAAGTGCAAAATAAAACGATGCATGAATTATTATTATTTATTTAATATATCAATTTATCCTGAGTGAGGGATGCTTACTGTGGACGATATGGGCTTTGGTGGTGCCATCGGCGGTGCTCGTCTCCGCCGACGGTGGCTTCATCACAATCTTCACTTCTCCGGTGACCTTCTCAGCCATTGGTGGCGGCGGAGCAGCCTCGGTCGCGACCGTGGCCTCCACCTCTGCTTTCTCCAACTCCTTCATCTTCCTGATTATATTCCACTTTTCCTTATGTTAGTCCTCAAATAATTATTTCCACATATTTTCTCCATTAAAAAGCACACAAAACGCTGCATGAAATGGTAAAACGATCACCTCTAATTAATTCAAACTGAATAATTTCTATTTCTGTATATTTTAGTTTTGGTGTTGTTTTTTAGCAGCCGAAAAAATAGTAAGCTAACGTCTACCTTCAGTTATGAAGATTGCCAGATAATTTGAGGTGGTAAAAATAGATATTAATGTTTAATAATGTACGAAGATCCAACACATATATAGATGAAAGAAGATTATAAGAAATACAAAAAAATTTATATGCAAAACTCAGAAAAAATCTGAGGATTGATGAAATGGTTCAATTGGTACTTATCATCAATTATAAATGATGGTATTTCTCAAAATTAAAAAACATGTTGCTATAGTTCATTAGACATGAACTGTATAGAACATATACTTAGGTCCAAGGATCGAGTCTATGTGTATGCGTTGTGTGTGTGAGTTTGCCTTAATTGGCCTAAATGTCCCCAAAAAAAAAAAAGTATATTTTAAATTTGAAATTAGATAATCTAGAATAGAGTTGGAAAAATTTAAAATGCAAGTAGGTAATTTTTTTTTTATGGGAGCACTACGGTACTGTTTAGCATAGATGTTTTTCTTTGTCATTATTGTGATAAATAATTTGTAATCTCTAAAATATCAATCATCAAATATATTGCGAAGAAAAAATCAAAAGCTTTCATTGCATCCATTAAACACCTACTTCAATTGAATATTGATCGTATATCCCATCCTCCTTGATAACCTGAAGTAATTTGCATCTCAAAGCAAACATTTTTATGAGACTAATTAAAGTTGTTGCATCACTGAACAATCATAGCGGTAGATATATATAAAGTTTGGCATGTCAGCTTTGTATGATGATCCAACACATAGACATATAGGAGAGAGGGTAGTGCAAAAGTCATATAAGATATTAAGATTTTTACATGAAAAACTCTTAAAAGGAGAAAATCCAAGAGGCTTGAATTAATTAAAATGATTATACTAGTGTTTATTGTTAATTACAAATGAGATCCTTCCTTTGGTGGGTGGGGGGGGGGAGCCTTGACTCAATGTAACAAATATACATCATATATATATAATACATTATATAGTGGGAGTTTAAAGAATCTGATGATATGAGAATTGTTCTCAAGAGAGTTTTGACTTGTTTCTTTGGGTGGTAGAACCATAGTAAGGCGACAATGGTCAAAGGGATCGTAGTCGGGGGGCAACATTGGTCATGAGAGGAATCGTTGTCGACGAGTGACCTAGGTTAGACACTACAGGAAAATCACTGATTTCCGGCGGAATTTTCCGGCGGCTTTCCGGCGGTCACATTTCCGGCGGCTTTCCGGCGCATTTCCGACGGTTTTTCTCCACGGAATTTCCGGCGGCTTTTTCACGTTTCCGGCGGCTATTTTAAATTTAATAAAATGAGTAAAATTTTTACTATTTAAATGATTTAACAAAAAATTATTAAAACTTATATTAACAACTTAATTAATTGTCGCCGGGAGCGGTGGGTGGCGTTCACTGTAAGATTTTTTTTTTAATTTTTTAATTTGACCGGCGATTTCTGACCGCCGGAATAATTTGCCGCCGGTAAAAACCGCCGGAATTTATTTTCATACGTCGTTTTTACCGGCAGTAAATTAACCGTCGGAAAACCGCCGGAAAACTACAAAACCGCCGAAAAGGTTCAATTTTCGCCGGAAAAGACCGCCGGAAATGGGTGATTTTCCTGTAGTGATAGGAACCATAATCGATGAGAGATGATGATCGGAGGGACCATAGTCGACCATCACAATGATGGGGGTTAGAGGGACGACAATCAACAGTCTTTAGAGATCAAAGTGGATCGTAGTTGGCAGGCGATAGTTTTTGGAGGGACCGTAATCCGTTAGGGATGGTAGTTGGAGGGATCTTAGTTGATGGGTAACGGTGGCTGGAAGGATCGTCGTTGGCGGACGATGGGAATCTGAGGTTCCGTAATCAGTAGACGATGGAGGTCGATCGGAGGGACCTTAGTTAGGGGGCGATGAAGGTTGGAGTGGACCATGGTGGGATGGCGGAGGGAACGCAATCAGCAGGTGAAAGTGGTTGGAGGGATCATAATACGCGGGGGACAGTGGTCATAGTGGACCGCAGTCGGAGGGCAATGATAGTCAGATGGACAGCAGTCAATGGGCAACGGTGGTCAAAGGGACCATAGTCGACGGATGATAGTGGTTGAAGGGACCGTATTCAGTAGTGGTCTGATCGACCAATGAAAGTTCGCAAGCGGTGGTGTTTGGGTGGAGCTCTAAATCTTTGAAGCCTAAGAGCTCTCTCTTGCCAAAGGTTCCAATACCCCTTTCATGTGGGAAGAAAGGGTATATTTATAGATTTTTGTGAGTGGCATACCCCATAAATATGAAGAAGATATGGGGCAAATTCAGAGTGATCCATCAGACAACGCATATTAATCCTCTCGATCATAGATCATTTGTCATAAATTTATGTGCTCAAATAATGTCAGACTTAAGCAATCTTGGTCTCGTTGGATTTATCTCGTCGAGTCACTTGATTCGATTATGAGCATGTCATATTTTGAGATCATTTAATCATCCAATTTATGCTTTAAACTTTCTGAATGTTCCCCGTCCCCACAATTTGGAACCCTTTGAACTTGGATTGAACTAATTTTGGTGTCGTCGGGTTTGTCTCTTTGAGCCATTCAGATTGGCTATAAGCTTGCTAAAATTGAAGTTTGGATGGCCTCGAATTTAATTTTGAAAATTTTAATTCATATATGTATCAAAATTCGTGCTCGATCAAGGCAATTTTTTGGAACGTATCAAAAGTATAAAAATGTGAACGTCAATTGTTGTCACAAACCAATCTATTAAATAAAATCTCAACCACTAATTAACTTATTAGTTTTAAGATACAAAAGCATTTTATCACATTGAATTACTTTATGAGCATAAACCCTTTTATAAGAAGGTTGAATACTATTCACAATTCTCAAAGTGGACCCAAACATATACTTCATTTGCTAATGATTATTTATTATAGCTATCAAACATGATTATAATTGATGGTCGAAGCATTGGATACAACATCGTGAGGATTTTTATTAAGAATGAGTATACAAGTCATGAAACTTTCCTCACATGTTTGATGTCCCATCATAATCTTGATCATATATCCAATATATGCAAGTTCAATGAATGTTTAGTAAGTTTACTTCAAAAGCTATCTTAAGTGTAGTTATATTAGTTGATAAATATGTTTAATACTAATGAATATCTCAATTGCCATTTTATATTAACATATCTCATTAGGACTATAAATTATTCATTTGTTGATCCATCACGAGATTTGTCTGCATAATAATGAAGTAAGAATCACCAATTCATTTACAATGGAAACCAATATATTGATAACTGCATTATGGTAAATTTTTTCAGGGGGGTTTTGGCTTATGATTTGAGAACCTAGAGCCCCGGGAGAAAGGAAGGAAAATAATGAATTAAATATAATAAGAGACAATTTTTATTTTTTTAAAGTTGGGCGGCAAATATAATAAGAGACAATTTTTATTTTTTTAAAGTTTTGTGAAAAAATAATTTTAAGGGTGCAAAACTATTAAATTGGCCAAATTATCAAAGTATATCAATTTTTAGGGTGTGCAATTATTTGTGGGTGCCTTTCATATGGAAAATAATGAATTAAATAATAGGTTGCGTGGATAAAAAATTTTTTAGACAAATTTTAAACTAATTTTTTTCAAGGAAAAATAATTATTTAAAAAGATAATATCTATTAGAATGATTTATTTTGAATATTCCTTGTCTATAGTAATGATAATGGTAGCCAATAAATAATTGAGAGAGGGAGAGAAGTCTTAGAGTTGGACATCTCAAGATATTATGCAAATATATCTTATCAGCAAATATGCAAATAAAATATTTATTATGGTCCAATATAACTAAATCAATCAAAATTAAATTTATTATGAAAATAAAACTAAAAAAAAATCCAAACACCCAATATGAACTGAACTAAATTATTTGCCTAATAATTTGATAATTTAATTATATTTATTTTATATTAAATAAATTATATTATATATTAATTACATAGAGATAATATGTGATGCTTATTTTTTCTATTAAAATCTCCCACCTAAAATCTCTAATAAAACTCCTTTGTCGTCATCCACTCATCCCCTGCTTCCTGCTTCAGCTTGGGTACAAAACCCTAACAGCCACTCACTCTCCGGTCTCCATCGCTCTCGCTAATCGCCTTCAGATTCTTCGCTGGAGTAATTCTAAACCGCTAAGAACCAGTCATTCTCCCTATATAGTCTCTCCACCCTTGCACTTATTGATCGTCTACAGGGGTCTGTGTTTCCGCCATGGATACCCACATAACCGAGGAATACGTCGTCAGGCGACGGTGGGAGAAATCAGCCCGCGAACTCGCCGGAGGCATCGTCGATGGCGGCGGGAGTTTCAGGCAGAGGGACGTAGAGAGGAGGGGAAGGGAGCTTTGGAACGGTCTGATGCGCGGAATCGAGGAGAGGAAGGTTGAGATCTCTTCATCTGGAGGAACCGAGAAAGCGTGCCATGATATGCTCTTTGGAATCTTCTCTGCTTGAGAAGTCCTTGAAGGTTCCGCCCCTTTCAGTCACATGCTTCTCTCTCTGACTCTTTTTCTAGCTCTACCTACCTATGTGTTTGTGTGTGTGTGATGATGATGATTGGTATAGTTGTTGAAGCTGAGGTTGCAGACGCTACGCTGTTGTAAATTTTTGCAGTAACAATCTGTAATTTCTTTTTTTGTTGAAGAAGACTTTTGTTGCTGTTCGTGTTCTTAATTGGATTATGATCTCTACAGAAATGGAGAGAGATGGCTCATGGCTACAATTAAATTCTGTCAAAGGTTTTGTGAGGATC